GGTCAAATCCTACACGTCAGAGGTCTGCTTCATAGTTACCGCTATTTTCTCAAAACATAACCGCTTGCCACGCGCTCGGTTTTATTTCATCTTCAAAACAACAACAAGCCGATCCTGATGAGGAGTGGTCAAATCCTTAACGTCAGAGGTCTGATTCATGGTTACCGCTATTTTCTCAAAACATAACCGCTTGGCACGTGCTCGGTTTCATTTCATCTTCAAAACAACAACAAGCCGAGCCTGATGAGGCGTGGTCAAATCCTTAATGTCACAGGTCTGTTTCATGGTTACCGCTATTTTCTCAAAACATAACCGCTTGGCACGTGCTCGGTTTCATTTCATCTTCAAAACAACAACAAGCCGAGCCTGATGAGGCGTGGTCAAATCCTTAATGTCACAGGTCTGTTTCATGGTTACCGCTATTTTCTCAAAACATAACCGCTTGGCACGTGCTCGGTTTCATTTAACCTTCAAAACAACAACAAGCCGAGCCTGATGAGGCGTGGTCAAATCCTTACCGTCACAGGTCTGTTTCATGATTAACGCTATTTTCTCAAAACATAACCGCTTGGCACGTGCTCGGTTGCATTTAATCTTCAAAACAACAACAAGCCGAGGCTGATGAGGCCTGGTCAAATCCTTAACGTCACAGGTCTGTTTCATGATTAACGCTATTTTCTCAAAACATAACCGCTTGGCACGTGCTCGGTTTCATTTAACCTTCAAAACAACAACAAGCGGAGGCTGATGAGGCGTGGTCAAATCCTTACCGTCACAGGTCTGTTTCATGATTAACGCTATTTTCTCAAAACATAACCGCTTGGCACGTGCTCGGTTGCATTTAATCTTCAAAACAACAACAAGCCGAGGTTGATGAGGCCTGGTCAAATCCTTAACGTCACAGGTCTGTTTCATGATTAACGCTATTTTCTCAAAACATAACCGCTTGGCACGTGCTCGGTTTCATTTAACCTTCAAAACAACAACAAGCGGAGGCTGATGAGGCGTGGTCAAATCCTTACCGTCACAGGTCTGTTTCATGATTAACGCTATTTTCTCAAAACATAACCGCTTGGCACGTGCTCGGTTGCATTTAATCTTCAAAACAACAACAAGCCGAGGCTGATGAGGCCTGGTCAAATCCTTAATGTCACAGGTCTGTTTCATGATTAACGCTATTTTCTCAAAACATAACCGCTTGGCACGTGCTCGGTTTCATTTAATCTTCAAAACAACAACAACTCGAGGCTGATAAGCCGTGGTCAAATCCTAAACGTCACAGGTCTGTTTCATGGTTACCGCCACTTTCTCAAAACAAAACCGCTTGCCACGTGCTAGGTTTCATTTCATCTTCACAACAACAACAAGCCGAGCCTGATGAGGCGTGGTCAAATCCTTAAAGTCAAAGGTCTGTTTCATGGATACCGCTATTTTCTCAAAACAAAACCGCTTGGCCCGTGCTCGGTTTCATTTAATCTTCAAAACAACAACAACTCGAGGCTGATAAGCCGTGGTCAAATCCTAAACGTCACAGGTCTGTTTCATGGTTACCGCTATTTTTTCAAAACAAAACCGCTTGCCACGTGCTCGGTTTCATTTCATCTTCAAAACAACAACAATCCGAGCCTGATGAGGCGTGGTCAAATCCTTAATGTCACAGGTCTGTTTCATGGTTACCGCTATTTTCTCAAAACAAAACCGCTTGCCACGTGCTCGGTTTCATTTAACCTTCAAAACAACAACAAGCGGAGGCTGATGACGCGTGGTCAAATCCTTAATGTCACAGGTCTGTTTCATGGTTACCGCTATTTTCTCAAAACAAAACCGCTTGCCCCGTGCTCGGTTTCATTTCATCTTCAAAACAACAACAAGCCGAGCCCGATGAGGCGCGGTCAAATCCTTAACGTCACAGGTCTGTTTCATGGTTACCGCTATTTTCTCAAAACAAAACCGCTTGGCACGTGCTCGGTTTCATTTAACCTTCAAAACAACAACAAGCCGAGGCTGATGAAGCGTGGTCAAATCCTTAAAGTCACAGGTCTGTTTCATGGTTACCGCTATTTCCTCAAAACAAAACCGCTTGGCCCGTGCTCGGTTTCATTTCATCTTCAAAACAACAACAAGCCGAGCCCGATGAGGCGCGGTCAAATCCTTAACGTCACAGGTCTGTTTCATGGTTACCGCTATTTTCTCAAAACAAAACCGCTTGCCACGCGCTTGGTTTCATTTAACCTTCAAAACAACAACAAGCCGAGCCTGATGAGCCATGGTCAAATCCTTAACGTCACAGGTCTGTTTCATGGTTACCACTATTTTTGAAAACACAATTACCTACCACTTTCTCGGTTTCATTTAATCCTCAAGACAACATCAATATTCGGTAGAAAAGGCGTGGTCAAGTCATCAACGTTGTATTCTTGTTTCAGGACCACCGCTATTTTTTGAGAACAAGAAGCCGAGGCTATTTTTTGAAAACATAATCGCTTGCCACGTTATGCGGTCATCTAATCCTCAAAACAACATCAAAATTCGGTAGAAAAGGCGTGGTCAAGTCATCAACATCATAGACTTGTTTCAAGGCCACCGCTATATTTTTAGAACAATTGCACTTGGCAAATGCTTGGTTGTTGTTGTTTTTAACTAACAGGTGCTGCTAATCTCGCTTGTTTTGAAGCTATGTTTGCTCACAAAGTGGCTGCCTCATTTGGCTTCACCGCCGGTATAAAATAGGCCAAACGTTCCAAAAATCACTTAAGAAAACAGTCTTTCGTAAGCTAAATCGAACTCTCTCTCGGCTTCTTTACAGCCATGCATCCTTTATGTCAACTACCAGACCAAAAGAACGATAAGGAGGAAAATGCAAAAGATAGACAGGGCCAGTTTCGCTACCTCTCAGAGGAAATGATGCAAAAATCACGCCAGATGAGTGAAGAACAGAACATGTGGAAAAGGCAAATCGAAAGGGCAGAGTTCCAAGCCTATGGAACACACCCCCCTGATCAAACGGCTTTGGATATGAAAACCAATATGAAAAGTACACCAGTATATAAATGTACTGATCAAGTCAGGGTACACTTTTGCTGTGATAACTGTCTTTATTACGATTATTACGAAGAAGCTGCATATCGTGTTTATGGAACACCACGTACGCATGGCAAGGCCTGTTAAAGAGAACAAAAATTGACTTTGGCAAGTTCTAAAAGCACGATAGTATGCTAAACACCGGGTAAAGTACTCAACGACGTGGCAAAGATAAAAAGAAATGAGGACCTGCTGGCTTAGAGGACATGACATGACGGTCAAACAATTTGGGAGACAATCTTGAACTTTATTTACAACGCCCTGACAATGATCCTTTTCGATTTTTTTTTTCTCGCACCGAGCCCCTATTCAGTGGAACGATCTGCCGATATCATATGTCGAACCCGCTCAACCTTAGTCTTGTAAGGCATGTTTAAAGAAAATCAGTTAAAACATTCTTGATATAGTATCTCTAAAAAGTATCGCAAAACTTGGCTTTGGCAAGTTCTAAAAGCACGATAGAATACTAAACACCGGGTAAAGTACTCAACGACATGGCAAAGCTTAAACGAATTGAGGCCCTGGCTTAGAAGAATAACCAATAAACAATAAAAAACTTTAAAGAAAATTGAAACATTCTTGCTACAGTATCTCTTTTTGAAGAGATACTGTATCAAGAATATTTTCTGGGAACAACAAAAGACGTTGGAAATTATTTATAGTGATTCGAAGTAATGTTTACAATTACTGTAGTTAAATTCTTAATACTTTATTTTTATCTGACCTTATCTCATTTTAATGAAAACAGAGTGATGTGTGTGGACAGAAGAACTCAGAAAAAAAGTTCCAGAAGGGCATAGAACCTTTAGCCGTTTATTTTAGTTGGATGCTCTCACCACTGAGCTACTGGAAACTCTAGTGATAAGCTATGGTTACATTTAAGGCTAATACAACTACCGCATTGTTCAGTCACATTATGTGAGCACAAGTACTTATGACTGCATCTCAAAGTCATCAAGAAATGTCTCTGTGCAGTAAATGAAAATATCATTATATGTATGGAGAGAGGAGTCTACAAATTGTCTTGATAAATTTTTTATAATTATAATTAAACTTTACGTTAATAGGCACTAGGTCCACATCACCTAATAGGTACCACAAACGACCTGCATAAAAAATAATGTATGTATGTTCGTGTAACCATTGATCTAAGGACCATTTATACATTGGTTGGATGCTCTAAACACTGAGCTACTAAAAATTCTATTGATTAGCTATGGTCAATGATAGAGCCAACGCATTGTACAGTCCCATTATGTGAACACAAGTGTTCTTATAACCGCACCTCGTAGTCGCCAAGAAAACTCTCTGTGCAGTAAATGAAAATATAATAATATGGATGAGAGAGGAATCCCCAAATCGCCTTGGTAAATTTTCTTTATAACTAGTAATAACCAAAGGTTACGGAGAGCGGGCGACAACGATCATAGGTCAAAACGCTTTTGCTCAATCGTTGTCCTTTGCGTAAGTTTTACGTGACAAATGGTCAAAACACGCGTGATCAGATTACGAGTAATAGAAGGTTCAAACGCGTGTGATCAAATTGCGTTCTGTGCATTCCATACATTCTTAGTGAAGTCCAAACGAATGCTGGCCTCGTACATGCGACGCATGCGTATTAACAACCTAGAGATTAGGATTGCGGGCTCCTCTTGTTGCCCACAATTAAACCTTACTTCAGTGGGCACTAGATCCACATCACCTAATAGCGAAACACCATGGGTAAGAAAAAATGGTAACCAGTAGATCCGAGAAATTTTTGTCATCACGTGACCGTCCAAACGTCCACCCCTGCATGTAAGCCGATGCCAAATGTTACATTTACTTCTTGCAGTGCCACCCGGACTTTTAGAGAGAAAAATCAACAACAAAGCCGAGTCATTTTTTTGTTTTCACTATATTTTAATGTCTACACTGACATGGATAACAGAGAAAGAGATAGCGCTGGAAGAACATCAACAGGAAAATTTTATCGCTGCGGTGAGAGAGAAAATGAGAAATCCTAGCGGCCAGCAAGGTGAACAATAAGAGGCAGCGGAAAAAAAAGCGAACAGGAACACAACCAACAAAATTTTTTGTGAGCAAATATGACATTTCTTCCATAAAACGTGTAAGTAGGAAGTTTCACGTTTTAGTCGCGCAAAACAACGACAAAGAAATGAACAAAAAAGTGTGCTGCATGTGCAAAGCTATTTTTTGCTGTTCTCGTTGCCGTCGCCGTTTCGCATTACATGATTTCATTTTTGTTTGCGCGAGTATATTAACCCTCGGACGTACAAGGGGGGAGGGTGGATGCTAACAGGGAGGAGAAGGATGTTTACTAAGGTTCCGCTGGTATGTAGAAATGTTACTACCGGTTTGATATCATGACACACTCAGGCTAATAAGATGTGGTCACAGTTCTAAATGCCATAGACCTATTTTGAAATCACTGCCGTTTTGCAAAAAAACACTGACTCAGCACGTGTTTGGATAAATAGAAAACTCAAAATAAAAACAAATGCAAATTCAGGCTTATAAGGCGTGGTCACAGTTTTGAATGCAATAAACCTACTTTGAAGTCTCCGCCCTTTTGTAAAAACAACGTGATTTAGCACGGCTTTGAAAAGTACACTCAAAATAATAATTAACACATGTTCAATTTCACAACAAACTCGGCCGCATAAGGCGTGGTCAAATAACGTCATAGTATTGATTCATGTTCATCGCTATTTTGTGAAAACACAACAACTTAGCACATGATTGGTTTCAATTTATCCTCAAAACACCAACAAACCGAAGCTGACAAGGCGTGGTCAAGTCTTTAACGTCATAGCATTGTTTCACCGCCACCGCTATTTTTTGAAATCGACGCAACTTGGCAGATGCTCAGTTTCATAAAACACACAAAACAACAACAAAATATGGCTGATACGGCGTGCTAAAACAACTTCGTTGGTTTGTTTCATGCCCACCCCTGTTTTCTAAAAACACCACAAATAAGCAAGCGCTCGGTTATACATAACTCTCAAAACTATAAGCTAAGGCTCATAAGGCGTGGTCAAAATCTTTCCCGAAAACAAACAACTTAGCATATGGTCGGGATCACTTAACCCTTTCAGTAAAACAACAACAACCTCAGGCTTATAAGGTTCAGATTATCAGACTTCGAAGACATATTTCGCGGTCACCTTCCCTACGGAACAATTAAAAGTTTTCACTCAAGAATATACACATTTTGCGGACTTTCAAACTGATTAAAAAGGCGTGGTCAAGTCTTTAAAGTCATAGACTTGTTTCATGGCCACTGCTATTCTTTTTAAAAAACAGTGTTTAAATATCAGAGGCCAGTTTATACAGGATATATTTAATACCCTTTATGGGAAGACGTAAGGTTAAGAAAATAGTTACTCTTAAATCCAGAGCCATCTTACACTTTTAAAAATGAATATCAACTCTTTATGAAGATTTAACCTTATTCCATTCCCTGTCATTAGTACTTTTTTCTCTTTTTTTTGTTTTTACGCAAGTTGCGTTACATGGTAATTAAGTAATTATAAGGTGTTTTCATTTATTATCTAGCCGGCGTTTAGAAGATTAAAGGAAACGCGAAAACTTTATCTGGGAGGGGTGTTGAGGATTATGATAACACACAAAATCTTTACTTTTATAGGTACAGTCAGCTTTGATGTTTGAAAAGAAAACGATTTTGCTGTTGTTGTTTTTCATATTGTTGTTTTTCATGTTGTTGTTGTTGTTGTTGTTTTTAAATCACAGGTGCTCCTAATCTCGCTTGTTTTCAAGCTATTTTTGCTCATAAAGTGGCTGCCTCATTTGGCTTCACCGCCGGTATAAAAAAGGCCAAAGGTTCGGAAAATCTATTTAGAAAACGGTCTTTAGTAAGCTAAACCGAACACTCTCCTTCACTTCACAGCCATGCATTTAATGCTACCAGACCGAAAGAACGATAAAAAGAAAAATAGAAAAGGAACAAATGGCCAGTTTCGCTACCTCTCAGCGGAAATGCTGCAGAAATCTCGACAGATGAGTAAAGAACAGAACATGTGGAAAAGGCAAATCGAAAGAGCAGAGTTCCGAGCTTACGGAACACGTCCCTCTGGTCAAAAAGCTTTGGATATGCAAATCAACATCAATGCCACACCAGCCGAACAGTCAAATGGTCAAGTTAGAGTGCACTATTGTAGTGATACGCCTTTGTATTATGAAGAAGCAGCATATCGTGTCTATGGAACACCACGTGCGGATTGCAAGAACGACAATAATTGAGTTTGACTAGTTCAAGAAACACGGTAGAATGCTCTGAAATGCGGGGTATACAGCTGTAGTCCTCAACGATATGGCAGGGCTTAAACGAATTGAAGGCCTGGCCCTGACTTTCCATGACATTTTCTATGAACTTTCCGGTATTTTATGTCCTTGGGATAAGCTGTCACTTTCGAAAATTGTCAAAACTATACTTATTTTTGGTGAATTTTTTTATCTAACTCGGTTTAACAAACACAAACTCTTGTTTTCACCGAAAAGCGTTTCGTTTGCGCTTTTTTCTTTCTCGTCTCTACCTTACTTTGTTCTTGCTTTGACATTTGCAGTCACTAATCTACCACTAACTCATAGATCAATTTTACGTGACTTTCCACGACCGACAATTGACGACGATGACTACCCAGGTCTGGAAAATAATTGAAATTCTTAATTTTTATGACTTGCCAGGACTTCCTTGATCTGTAGGAACTATGTATCACCTCTTGTAAGGGAATCCAAGACAGACTTGAATTCTGGATTCCTCGCCGTGGATTCCAGATTCCAGGTACTGATTCCAGTCTTTTTCAAGGGAACTCTAATTCTGGATTCCAATCTTAGTAGGACCCCAGATTCCAAAGTCCAGGATTCCGGATTCCACGAGCAAAATTTCCTGGATTCCGGTTCCGACAGCAGTGTACTATATGTACAGAATTATGTATGACAAACTAGTAGTCCTTTAACTATGTCACCAAAATGGTGATGCAATGATAATGATGACCATGACGACGATGATGATGATGATGATGATGATGATGATGATGATGATGATGATGATGATGATGATGAAAACAGATAGGAAAAGACTAGGAAGGGCAGGAAGAGAACAATGACACCACAACTTATCAAGTTGATGTAATAATAAAGAGTGAGTTATGTTTTACTTATCAACACTTAAATTGATTTAGATAATTTCTGCCAAGTTTTTGTCTATCAGCCTACAAAATTCTCTAATCATTTGTCAAAGCTTTGAAAAAAGTGCTATTATAACACCTCCTTAGCATAATATATGAGCAAAAAAAAACCTGCTTTCAACAAAATGTATTCTTAACACATTCATAACTCAACTGCACATGATCACCTACAGGAATGTACAATATGTGAAACCACCTCTCTTGGTTTACATGTACATTTAAAACCATCTCTCAAATAATTTTTTGTAGTGGAAAGAAATCTCTCACCCCAAACCAAAATGAGCACCAATCGGTCAAACAGACCATCAAAGAAAAATCAGCAAAAAATGATGCCTTGAGGACCAAACCAGAAAGGCAGAAAAGAAAGCAGGCAAAGAACCTGCTGTCAGTGTGTAGGAACACACAAAAGTGACTCACATGCTGACTGGGCAAAAAGAAATACAAAGGATAAATAAATAAATATAAATAATAAGTAATGATTTGGAGGTAACACATCCACAAACTCGTTCTTTGTCTACCTGATTCCTGGTCTAATTGGAATTTGAAAATGTTGGTTTTTGAAGAGAGGGGAAAACCGGAGTACCTGGAAAAAAACCTCTCAAAGCAAGGGAGAGAATCAACAACAAACTCAACCCACATATGGCGTCAACGCTGGGATTTGTTGTTCTCAATCAGGAGCCATTCCATTTTTGCTCTGAGCGAAACCCCTTGGGTCTCTAAGGTTGTTGGTGAAAATGAGTTTGATATCAAGTAAAATATCACTTAATTAAGTTAGGGATGAAATTGAACCATAGCAGATAGCACGATGGTGAGGAAAGTTCTAAGTACCGTAAACAGTGTAAAATTGAAAGTTCTGTAAACATCATGTCCAATAGCTAGCGCCTAGTGGATTTTGTGATCAGGCTAGTGAATTTTGACCTTAACTCGCCCATTTTTGGGGGCAGCTGAAATCACAGAAGAACTGTAAGATAAATCATTTAAATTTATAATGAACTCATGTGGACCAAATAATGTTTTGATCTGACAAAGTGAAATTATGAAAATTATCATTCATTGTACTATCTGCCTTTTCATTAGCTAGGAACCTAAATCTAATTTTGGAAATTACCCAACAGATATATATAGTTAGTTATCTTAGAGCAGAAAACCGACTAATCTGTAGGTTGCCAGCACAATAATGCATGCTTTCCAAACTCAATGTCAAACTGTTACATGTGATGGTGCATTTATCATTGGTTTCTTCAAACAATTTGTAATTAAACAAAATTATTATAAAAATTATTCAGATTACCTGAGTAGTTTTTGTGATCCACAATAATCAAGGTTATCAGGGCTGATAACACTCAACTCACCTTGATTATTCCATAAAGAAACTCATCCAATAATTGTTTATTGTTATACATAGTACCCATTTCATGTCTTCCCACTGGCTAAGAGCCTACAGTTAATTTTGGAAATCAGCACAATCTACAGATTAGTTACAGTTATCTGCTGGCAGATAACTGACTAATCTATAGGTTGCACGCACAATGCATGATTTCCAACAACAGTGCAAAGTGTGTTCTATGCAATGCTGTATTCATCGTTACTTTCTTCAAAACAATCTGTAAGAAAAAAAAAGTTTTTGAAATATCCTAAATAATCAAGGTCTCAGTAAGTGTTATCAGCCTCGGCCTTTGGCTTGGCTGTTAACACTTACTCAACCTTGATTATTTCAAATATCAAAAAACCTTTTCCAATAATTGCTTATCATTATTACAATGAATTAATTAATAAAGCAAATAATTGATTAACTAAAGGTGTAAATTAATAATTACTAAAAATAATAATAAATTATCTATTAATCCTACGAGTCAGCAAGCTGATAAACTGTCTTCTTTGCACCCAGGTGAAAGACGTCACGACAAATTCTAGTCAACTTCTCCTTCTACTTTCGCATCAAGTTATATTAGCCTCTTTTCCAAATGAGGCTTCAATAACTTATGGCAAAGTGCTCAGAACCGTGCTCAGTCCTTAATCTGATGCTTGCCATACATTCTTTCACCGGCAGAACCTAGAAATTATTTTGCTGACATGCACAACATTGCATCTCTAAAACCATTCAAATTACTAAGAAAGTAAGAGTGAAGAGATTTCTTACCGCAGCGTAATGTTCGTAATAGTTATACGGTGCTTTTCTCGGATCTTGTCCATTTTCATCCCATTCAGCGTGACCTAGTTGCGTGACTGCGTAACCTTCATCTCCAACCTCGTCCCCAGACCCTGGGGAAGAGATTAGCCTCCATCTCGAGCCGCCATTAGTGACCAGCCAGCGGTACTCCAAAAAGGCCTGGCCGCTAAGATTTTGCCTGATCAAGCGCCATCTTGGATTTTGCAGATCACTTGATCTCTGTTTTTAATCAGACTTAAAACATGATTAGGACAGTAGTCTGGTTCGGAGTTGGCGGTTTCTTTACAGCATGTTATGCTAATCTTGTACGAGGTTTACCCATGTGGAGAAGTAAGTATTTATATCGTATGTTTCCCTTGGTTGTTGGTGTTGGTTTACTGTATTGATCGAGCGTGCGTGGGATCACCGATTCAGTTCTTATCAATTTCGGTCAAAATGCTAAGAAGGTAGTAAAGTAATCAATCCATAACTTTAACGCCCCCTAAATTTATGTTCTCTATTAGTTATTTTGTTGTACCTTTGATCAGTCGGTAAACACGAATTTTACAGCTGTATTGTTGTCGTAGTCGTCGTTCCCAGATTTCCTATATATTTACTGCAAGTCTATACATTCCTTCCTTTCTTCCCTTGTGTGAGCCCTTTGAGCACCGCCACTGCCTGTTGCATTGAACATTACGTCATTACCTGATTAGAAATCAGCCAATCAGCATTTCACATCCCATTCTGGGACGCAGACATTCAAATTTATGAGACACGAATGCAAGCGCCCATTCCCCTCTTCCCTTCCCCACCCTCGTACCCTCAGAACCCCAGGAGAGCTTGCCCGCAGGCTAGGTAACACCCCAGACATTGCAACTTGCTTTGTGAAAGAAACAACAACAACAGCTCGAAAATGTTTATATTAAGTCAATAATGAGGTTACTCTGTTGAGCTGTATGATAAATACCTTGTTGAGAAAAAGAATTTGAGTCACTAATGGGTAAAACAGTGGACGGAGGGAAAGATATCAATGGAAAAAGTTTTCTGCCTATTATTTTTATCCGCCATTATACAATGTATCACTGTAAATGTGCCATTTCACCCCTACAGCACCCTTGATGCATGTCTTCTGGACTAGCGTCGGCTTAGGTCTGGGCTACAGAGGGCACATATTTGAAGAAACCTCAGAAGAGAGATATAAAGAGCTGATTAAGAAACACAAGAATGCACCTTGGTACCCCAAAGGTCAGCTTTTAGCCGAACGATATGCAAGAGAAAAAGCAGAAAGAGAAGGTGAGTTCAATGAAACCCTTATAAGTTAAGTTCAAAAACTTAACTTTGTGAGGAATGTATGATTTCCATTCACAACCCAGGCTTTCAAAGTGACATTGGTGAGTGGGACAGCACTAATGTCAAATCCTGCACACCAGTGTGCAAAGAAAGTAGTGTTTGATAGCCTGGAGCTAGTGGAATTTACTATCGGGCTAGTGAATTCCGTTCTTAACTTGCCTGAGAACTGTTATCAACCCTGCTGAGCATCAGGCTAGTTGAAATGACTTTTGGGCTAGTACATGTTAACTACAGTGTACCCGAATGACAAGCTGTAAAACTGACTTTCTTTGCACCTGCACAGTGCATTTTTACATTTTTGTGTATTAATATATTTCTTTTCTCCATGTAGCTGCAATGGCTGGAATGGAGCAGGCAGCTGCTTGTGAGTACATGAAGATTTTTTACCAAAAATCGTTTTCAACACTGTTTATAGATACATGTACAAAGTAATACATATAACTCACAATCCACAACATACTCCCTTCAAGAGCTTTTTTGGGCCCGGATAACTTACAACCCTGTGTGAGAGACTCTCCCAGACTGCTTCTTGCACAGTTTAGTTATTGAGTGTTTTGACAAGACATCACAGCGGCCATACTGGTGTTCCAAAACAATGAAGCAGTGGCCATGTTGTGTTCAAAGAAAATCTGCTGGAAGTTGACCTCTTTCCTCTTAGAATGCTTTCCTGTTTTCCAATAAGTAGGCATAGATGCTGGGCAAATGAGTGAAAACCCTCTATTAATGAACTCCCCCTATGTGAATGTGAATTAATAATAAACCTTCCCCTTCCAAAGTGAGTGATGATGTCTTGTAAGTTGTTTTTAACGTTGAGTCACAGGTATCCCAAGCTCAAGAGTGAGAATAGTGTCGTGTAACAGAAATATTATAAGGGTTTGTATGGAAAATTTATCAATCATTATTTGGGGCATTAAAACATCAAAACTTCTTACCTTGTCTCCTTGTCTTGTTTATGGTCCAATGTACATGTTCCCCATCCCGGGAACACATTTCACTAGTAATATGCATTACCCTTCCCGGGAAATACATATCACTAGTGAAATGTGTTCCCCTACCACTAGAATTAAAGCAATATGTGTTTCCCAGCTAGGGGAACACACATCACCAGGGATATTTTGTTTCTTGGGAAGGGGAAGAGATTCCACTAGTGATGAGTGTTCCCCTACTTGGGAAACACACATCCTTAGTGAAATGTGTTCCTTTACCCTGGAAACATACTTCCCAGGTAGGAGAACACATATTACTGTTTCTTTTGTAGGGGAAACACATTTCACTAAGGATGGGGGAACACATATCACTGTGACATAACAGTGATATCCCTAGTGATATGTGTTCCCCTACCCCGGGAACAGAGATGACTACTTGTGAAACACATATCCTTATTGATATGTGTTCCCTTACCATACCACACATATCACTAGTCATATGTGTTCCCTTTTCCGGGAAACACATATCCCTAGTGATATCCGTTCCCCTACCCGGGGAACACATATCTCTGGGGATATGTTTTCCAGGAATGCCATGTGTTCCCTTTTTCCCCTACCCAGGAAATACATATCACTAGTGATACAGTGTATGTGTTCCCTGGTAGGGGAAACAAATTTCACTAGGGATATGTGTTTGGGGTAACACATATCTGTGATATCACTGTCATGTGTGGTCTCCCATGATACGTGTTCCCCCGAACACATATCCCTAGTTACACGTGTTTCCTTGGTAGGGAAACATACTGATGCTATGATCACTGGTAATTATGTGTTCCCCTACCCGCGAAACACATATCACTAGTGATACATGTATTTTCTTAGCATTTCTGGCTGTTTCAGTGTGATTCTAGCAAGTTTTAGTTCTACCATTGCATATGCAATATATTTTTTCATTTTGTTATAAAATTATTAGAATTATAGAGAGAGATTGAGGGTAGAACTATATTGTGAAAAACCGGCTGAAATGGCCAGATATTCTAAGAACATACCACAAACAAGACAAGGTGACAAGGCAAGAAGATTTGATGTGTTTTTATTTCTATTTTCATGCATTAAATAACGATCAATAAATTTTCCATACAACCCTTATAATATTTATGTTATGCAACACTATTCTCACTGGTGAGCTCGGGGTACCTGTGTTTGAGTGGGTGGAGGAAATCCTGCATTGTGGTCCTATCCAAATGAATTCTCTTTGGCAGTTCTTTCACATGGTACAGTTTTCCAGTCAATATCGGTTGGAAATAGACAGCAGCCCAAATAAAATCCACATTACAATAATGGTGGGATCCCTCGTAAATCAAAGATTGCATGGTTTTTGTTGTCTAAAATCATGTGCTCTCACTAGGCAAGTCTACCATCTTGAATTGTCACAAATTATGCTTACAAGTAAAGACAGATGTTCAGACACTTAGACCTTTCTTCAAGTTTTGAAGCAGCTACAGCTAATGAAGATTCACCTGTAACATTTCACAGAAATTTATAGTGTCACCTTAAGCTTTCCATTTTGATCGTCAGTCACAACGAGTGAGCTCAGCTGTAATAAGTGTTAAGGGGCTAGGGCCCTTAATGACAGCTCTGACTCTCATACAATTTTAAAACATTTTTGGGCTTCATCTTCCACGTTATGAGATACTTAACTACGAACATTTCAGGCTTGAAGGTACTAATTTATTTACTCTTCTCTCTTTTGAGTTCCGTAAGGCCTAATCCCTAAGAAAGATTAGCATGTAATTGCCCATTGTAATATCGATGTTCTGTCGATCAACTGTGTTATGAGAATTTAACACCTGATCACCCATGATGCTTCTCTTGTTATTTCAACAGTTTTAGCCACTTTTTCCTAGCATATACATGTAGCATAAGACAACACAGGAAAATGTAGATTTTGACGTTTTAAATCCATCAGGGATATTGAATAGCTCTATTGCAGTCCACCCAATTCAATAACTACTAAACTAAATTGTAAAGTTTATACATGATCTTACTCTATGCATTTAACTCCACCCAGGAATGGAACTGCCTTTTTGTGGGAACAAGCCAACATTTTTCAAGTCTATAAACAGTCTTCTGTGAGAGAAATCAATGGTCTTTCATGTGCCACATTTCATTTTATAAGTGTCAGACTACAGGTGCAAGAATGACTGTGGTTGTGTGACGTTTTTCTTCCCTGGAAACAGTTTACTTGTCATACTGAGAAACCCTAACTTTTCCTTTTAATAAAGTGATTAATTTTTGCATTCATTTGTAAATAAGATAGGATCATGGTGGATTTGATGTCATTAAAAATAAAGTAATTTCTTTATGTCCACTGCTTTATCTTTATTCATTTTTTTCTATCGTTTGACCTATTTCACCGCCCGTGCGGATCGACGTCCCTTGTACCGCTCATGACGTAATCAGTTTTAACGGTCAAGGTCAACTTTGTCATCTCACTTGTGCAGGGGAAAAGAGATCTGCCAGAGTGAGCATGATTTAGTCAAGGAAACTGAAGAAAAACCTGGAAAACCATAACAGGCTGACCCGAAAATTCCAATTGCAATTCTGTTCCATTGCCCACCTGTAGTTCTTTTCACCTGACTCTACGATACAGTACAGGGACACCCAACGGGAAATTTTGAGAAAAAAAAACGAAAAACAACTTTAAAGCATTTTTGGAGATTGTTGGGAAAAATGTATCTGTTTCTCTCTCCCAGCAAGACTGATGGAAGAGTTCTCAGCCCGCAAGGTGCACCTACAACAACCTTTTGTAACAGAAGGTTGTAGTTTCTTACGTGCGGATTTGTTGCTCTGTTGAAGGAATGTTTTCCTGTCGGCGAATTTTAACTCAGAGAGGTACTTTATCACAATAGGGACGGGGTAGTCTCTTTCTATCAGGCGATTTTCTCAATTTTTGATGTTTTCTCAAAAGTCGTTCGAGAGGAATCAGTCCTTAGACGCCCGAGCGCTTCTCCTTGAATGAAGCATTTCTTCACGCCTGGTGGTTGACGCGAGTACGTGAACGGGTTTTTTGTTGGCTCATGGGCTCCTGGTGGGTTTATGATGTCTTTGCACGTCTAGGATTGGTTCCTTGTTGAATCTAACCCCTTTGTACACTTTTCTGTTCAAGAAAGTGATCTCTGTTTCTGACATCTCAGCCGTGAATTTGATAGTAGAGTGAAAGTTATTTGCCTTTTCCACAATTATTTTTAGCTCTCTATTTTGTCTAGACTTGTGTTCCATAAGGAACACTCATCGTCAATATACTATCTTTTCCAGAACAGCAGTTCAATATCCCTACTAGGTGCCCAGATACTTTTTATGCGCGGTGTCCGGTTCGGCAAAGTCTTTATAGTGATCCACGCGAAAAGCGTTTTTTCTCGCGGCTTCGGCGCTTCGCCTCTAGTGACTTCCGCCTTCAGCCAAAGATTTGTCGGCCCGCAGCCGAAGCATCCCGCTGCACGCGATAAAATCCTCTGGTGACCACGGTACGGTTCAATACAACTCTGTCCCTATATTGGGTTTTCTATTCTGGCCATGAAGATGTTAGCAAAAGCAGCAGCCATCTTTGTTCCCATGGCTGTTCTATGGGCCTGTAGCCTAGTTGCTACCGAAAAATTGGAACCAGTTTTCTTTTAACATAAGATAGCGTATTTCTCTTAGATATTTGGTAGGTACGGGGGAAATATTCCCGGGAATGTTTGGTGGACGCGTGTGCCGCCTGGTTCTCCAAATCCTAACCCTATTTCAGACCCTACTTCCATACCTGGCGTTTTTAGACCCAGCCTCCGGCCTCTTAAATCCATACCGGTTTTCAGATCTGGTAGAGGTAGAATTTAGGCCAGAGCTCAAACAAGATTTCTTAAAATCCAATTCGAATTTGCTTATTACTCTTTCTTTCTGATTCATTTGGAATTGAAATGACAAGTACATTTATACACTCCTGTAGTTTCCTCGAAAACCATCACCAATTCCAGACCAAAATGGGTAAAATCTATACCCGTTTTCAGACCGAAACGGCGCATAAACCCTATCCTTTGGGGCGGCACATACCTACATGGCTTATATAAGGGAGTACCCCCCGGTTCAAAGAAATCTTCGTATGCATACATACGGCGGTTAGGCGCCCTTCGCGTGGTATGTTGGTGTAGAGGCGAAGCTCTGATGGTCATTACACGACTAAGAGCAGGAGTCGTTGCCCGCCGCCAATTTTTAAACCAAGTTTAGTGAGGAGGGAGATTTACCCTCCTGTACCTCCCCCCTCTTGATTAGCCAATTGCCAATGGCATTTTCACGAAGCCAATCATTAAATAGTAAACTTGAAATAAACTTAAAGAAACTTGACTCTATATCGCCCGGCACACAGTGACCAGAAAACGGCTGGACTACTGCTTCAGAGGGCGTTTTTCACCAACTTTCCCATAGGCGAATGGGTTAATTCTTTCATTCCTAATAATTGGCAAAGAAAAACATAAAAAGTTATTTTTTAAAAAAATTCTTAGAAATAGACGTCACTATGCAAAAGTTCGGCCAAAAAGGTTTTATTTAAATGGTAACACCATAGGATTCTATCCACAGGCTTAAAAGTTGGAGTAACAAATAAAATTATATTTATGACGTGGTCTAGGAGCAAGCGACTGTCCAAAGTTTCCCATTTTTTACTTTCTCTTTTATTACTGGGGCGAGACATTTCCCTTATTTTATAATTGATGGAAAAATAGACTCTGCTAGCAGGAAAGTCCCAAGATGAGAATTTTGCAATTTATTGGTAGAGTTTGTGGAATAATTGGTTTTCAATTAATACTTTTTTATTAACATTTTGTTTCACCAAATTTGCATGTAAATAGAGATTATTTTCCCGTGAAGGGAAACGCTTTTGTTTTTGACCACCAGCATCGCCTCCGTGACATCAGCTGCAAACCATTAAATAGGTCAATTCTAGGAGCTAAATGGCCAGAATTGTAGACGAGAAATTTTTTTTCTAGGAAGAGCTGAATGGTCGTAGGTTAAAACCACTGTACAAATTTAGGGGGTTTAAACATAAAAATTATTCTTTTCCAGAATTTAGGACAAGAAAGATAATTGACGTTAAACAGTGAGCAGATAGACGGGAACATGATCAGTCAATGATGGACCTTGCTTGCTATCTTACGTAAATTATGATAATTTGACAACCCGTATTAAAATCGAACACACTGTAAACAATCCATACGTCTGATCGTGCTAATTTATGCACAGTTGGTTAATCGAACCCTAGTGAGCAATTCTACAAACCGGATCATATCCTCACATCGTTCGGTCGTATATTTCTCCTTATGAGGAAACCTGCTCAACTACGAAAACAGACATCCCAGACGCTTTATGGATTTTCTTAGCCATCTTTTGAGGTACGAGATATGAAGGAGAATTTCCCCCTCTCAATTAAATAACGCACCTGTTTTAACTAAAAGATAAGCTTACCGTGGCTGAAGCTAAATGGGTCAGTAAACTGACGTTTATAAATATCTCCAGATGCTGAACGAAATGTATGTTGATTTAGAAACTCGTTAGCGTGCTTTTCCTCAACTTTTCAGTTTACATGAATGAGTACATTTCCGGTTGTAGAAGGAAGTTCAAGTTATTTACAAGCACGAACGGCGAAGTAGTGCTAGCTACAGTTCGGACGGTTTGCTACTATGAAAGTGTCCCGATTTCAGAGGTATTGTTCGATGTTAAATTTTGTGCTCTGTTGTAGGCATGAACGAACATACTGATTCATGATACCAATTTGACCTCAGTTATTCACTAGAAAAGAACGTCTACGTAGCGTTGAGCTCTAGTGCTCTATGGAATAGATAAAAATGTTCAATTGATTGCCTAGAAGATACTATATATCTTTGATTTTTTTTCAATGAATGATCGTCACGTTTCCTGTCAGAAGTTTGCACGAGTTTCGATCGAAGAAGGTCAAAATTAATGCATGTAACAAAACAAGATCGTGTATTTTCCATGCGTGTATTTTCTTTGCTATCAATTATTATTGCTTGACAAGCTATAACATACTCTCGTTCCTTATAGCATTCATTTATTTCTGTCAAATTGATGACGTGCTCCTTCAGAGCAAGTCGAACTTAGGAACGAACCGCACGCAGTCGCTTAGACACGAAGTTACATGTCATTTTTTCTGCTCTGTTTCTGATCGGCTCAGTTGGATAAAAACGGCTTGAAATCAAAATTATCGCTTTTTAGCGTTCAGTTGACGGACTAGTTTTATGCGGTCATTAAATTTTTATACCGATCTGTATAAAAGATTTCCCTAGACCTAAAACAAGTTATTACAACAGGAAAAACAAACATTCAGTAAGACTGTTTAAGGTAAGACTTCTCGCTGGCTTCGAAAGAATAATTCATCGTAATTCCGAACAATGCTCCTTGCCCATCTCTTTTTTATCTTTATGTTAATAATAATGTTTCAGAATTCATCAATAATTCACCTTTTCATGGTTATGTTAAAATCTAACGCTTTTGAAACCGACGTTGAAATTACCGATGGTAACCAATCAAAATTAAAAGGACGATCCCGCGGCTTCCTTAGCTCAAAAAGGAGGAGTAACTTAAGCATCCTTATTTGCAATTTTTGAGGTTGATTGTTTCCGCTTTGTTTTGTCTCCATGGAAACGTTGAAAATACAATACCGTCTTAATGGGTAGCATAACGACTGATAAGGAAGCGAATTTTTTTCTGATCGAGGACATCGATCCATTTTGTTTTTAGCCGTATCTGCTTGATATCTTAGGTTAAACGATCAGGTGAATAAGGAGCGCCCGCAAGGGGTATACGTTGAAGGACCCCTGTTGTGAAAAACGGTGAACAGAGGAATGAGTATCATCAGTTTACCATTGAGCCTGTTCCAAGGATTCAGATAAAGGGGAAAAATAAACTCGTACCCAGATCTCACTCTGTTAAGGTGTGAGATTAGGGGAAAGCGCAAAGAAAATAGACAATTAAATTTTCAGTAACCACTAAAATATCGGCCATGATGACCGCCATTTTAAATGACTAACCTAAGTTAAATACCTGCCAATTGTTTTATGATCACATGGTAGATAAAAAGCCGTCTAATTTCACGCTAGCCTTCGTGTCTGACCAACATAATTGTGACACCGGAGGTGTAACTTTGTAGCATCTAAATCCAGTAGCTTTAGAATAAATATAAGAAAATTCTGTCCAACAGTTATAGGATGTTATTATTGGAATGATATTTCTTTATCTTTAGGTAAAAAGACAACTAAAAAAATTGTTTAAAAGAGCACTATATTACTATTATCTTGCTCAGTACTAATAACTGCCATACCGACCCTGGTGTGTTCTTAGATATTTTTGTGTACTTTCCTTTTTAATTTCTCTCTTTTACATTTCAAACTTCAAATACTTGTCTTTTTTTTCTCTTTTATCCTAAATAAAACTGTAATTTACTCATTGGGCTTAAAATTAGTTTTACTATTTCTGGCCCTTCCGCCATTAATTCTTGTGATAATGATGTCTTCGAATCTGGTAATATAAATAAATGGATGAAATAGCTAGTAAAATACAGAAGAAAATACAACTGACTCACAGCCCATGTTTAATTAAATTCCGTCTTTATTTCAACAGGCGCGGTGAGATTTCTGAGCAGATCTTCAACTTCATCAATGGCGAGTTTATTCCCCCTCTTGGAGGAGCATTTGCTGAGACATTAAATCCAAGTACTGGAGAAGCCCTATGCAAGTATCCTCTATCGAACATTTTGGATGTACAAAAAGCGGTGGAAGCTGCGAAATCTGCGCAAAAGCAATGGTCTAAAATGTCTACGGTACTGTCACCTGATATAAATTGTTTGCATCTGACACTTTATAGAACCTCTAATAGGGCGTTTTCACTCACGTAACCAGCATCTATGCAAATTTATTGGAACAAAAGAAAGCGTTGCATAAGAAAAGAGTTCAACTCCCACAGGATTAGTTCGGGACGCCAACAAGTTAAGGCCGCCGTTTCATTGTTTTGGGACACCAATATGGCCGCCGTGACGTCATGTGAAAACACTCTATTTGAACTCGACTTGGTGATTCAAAGGTAAAATTTCCCACAAATGTCAAGGCCTCTAGAACAATTTAAAATTCGAGCCTTTTCCGCCCGTCCAATCAGAGGGAAAGGTGTAAAGCAATTACAATTACATCACTAGTGACAAACGTCTGATTGATACTGCGCGTCCACGTGACATGGCCTTAAGCCAATGGCATTGCCAGGAATGGAAAAAGTACTGACATTTTCTCAGTTAAAACTATTTGTTGCCAAAAATTGCCACTTCATATATGGTTCGCAATCTGATAAGTTCATTGTATGCTTACCAAAAATTGCCATTATAATTCACCATATATCACAACTGCCAAGGTTTTAAAGAGCACATTTATCTTCCGAATTTTAAAATTTAAACACTGGTTTTTTAATTACGACCTCAATATTAGATCAATGTTCTACTTCTTTTATTGTTTGTTATTTGTTTTTGTCTCATGCATGCTTTTTTTACATCATAAGATCAAGAGAGCCAACGTATTGAACCAAGTGGCTGAACTGTTGGAGAAAAGGTCTGAAGCGTTTGTTCGCGCGGAGATTATGGACCAGGGACGAGCTATCCAAGGCGCCAGTAAAGAGTACAATGATGTTCACAGAGAGGTTCACAATATCAAACACTTTACTGCTTTAGCGATAGCCATGACAGAATCAGCGACGAAAACAAATGGTAATGAATTGGGTTTTATCCGGTCCAGTTATCAGGAATGAAACTTCCTCTCACAATTGAAATTTTGAGAAATAAAAGAGCGGAATTTTCACATTTATAAGGCAAAATGCTTGAAGAAAAGAGAGAGAACCAACAACAAACTCAACCCACATATGGCGTCGACGCTGGGATTTCCAACCCGAGCCACATTGGCATCCGCATGAGGCGAGTGCTCTCATCATTGCATACCATGCCAGTTTAAGACGATTTTGCGTGGTGAAAAATTGGTGTTTGCTAACATTGAAAGAGTCGCCTGAAATCTCCCAGGACGAAAATGGGAATTGGCTTGGGAAAGAATTCGTTTCCTTGATCAACTATTTTGTTTCTGAAGGAAGAGTCTTTACCGACATCGGCTTAACAGTCGCTGTCAAAATAGCTTATTTCGAGTCTACATGGGATTCACAAACAGAATATACTGTAGGCCGGTTATTGTTCTAAAGTGATCTATTTTCTTTCTTGATAGATTCTGTCAGTTATTCGTGCCGTTATCCTCTGGGGGTGATCGGAATTGTCACATCTTGGGCGTCACCTCTACACTCGGTGTTGTGGCACGCCATTCCAGCGCTGGCCTGTGGTAACTGCGTTATCATCAAGCCATCATGTCTGGCACCAATTGAAATTCATTTACTGGCCAAAACATTTAGTGATGCAGGTAATTGACTAAACACATGATTGCCAGTGCCGGTCTTGTTCCAAAAAAAATTCGTATAAAACAGGAAAAAAATTACCACCAGGACAACCAAACACGTAGAATTAGTATCGCCGATCCCCATATCAACACCTGCGTGGAAAGGGACAGAAAAACCATTAGAGCAATCCCCCTACCTCCCCCTCCCCCTCCCCAAAAAAAGGCCCTCGCATCCCTGGCGGCGCTAGTAGTAAAGTGAAATACACCAGGCCAAAATCAGGGGGAAGGGCGCTGAAACACTTTTAAAATTTCTCTTTCAAAGCTGTCGTGCCCACAAATGAAATTTAAAGAAATAAAATCAAAGAGAACTAGTTGCCTGTGCTCAGCTTTTCGGTTAAGACTGCAAGTGTTGTAGTTCTATTCATTTATTTATATATTTATTTATTTGCTGGCGGAGCCGCGAAAAGATTGTCTCCGCTTCCAAGAAAGTACCCCGGGCATAACAATCCCGCCAGCTACGTAGGCTCGAGAGCTACTGGAATTCTTTTTGATGTATCCATACGCAACATGGGGAGTGAACCCCAAGGATTTCTGATGTTGCTGCCTGTTAAAGCCTTAAATAAGGACCTGACTTAATATTTAAGCTAATTAGTATTTTAAATCTTTTGTAAACAAGGAGTACCGAAAGGTATAGTGAATGTGGTGTATGGTAAAGGAGACGCTATTGGGAAAGCCATAACTCAACATCCCAGTATGAAGGCATTGGTCTTTGTAAGTACTTCATTTGCAAATATAATTAACCTAAACACTCGGAATGACTGACACAAAGGAACACAGCTATAGATAATAGTTTCCTTTGAAATCAGGAAGATGACTGCAAGTGACTGACTGTACGTCAGTTAATTAGCAATGAGAATCGAAGCCAAAGACCTCCCAACAATAAACGTTTGTTAAGTTCCAACTTATAGCCCAAGAACTTACACCACAGGCTTGACTGCAAGAGGTTTTTCATCAAACGCACATGGTTTGATGTTCCTTATTTACTAAAACAGCAGTAAAAGGTGGAAACGTTACCTTATCAATCCCGAGGTCGAGGGGAGTGGTTCACTCCTGTTTGAAAGCAACGGCTTTGGTCGTCAGAAAATTAGAACTTAATCCCTTAAGTATGCCAATCTGGGTGTTGCTTTATTCGGAACCCTAAAATAGACCATGCTAAACAAAGGACATTTCTTGTGTTTTGCTTATCAGGTAGGAAGTGAAAGGACTGCTTGTAAAGTCTTAAGAGATAGAAGTGACCATCTGCTTTATACAAAGAAGATTTCGTTTAACTTGGAAAACTGTCATGCAATGATTATCTTTGACGACGCAGATCTAGACGAAGTCCTTCCAGCTGCAATTAGGGGAAGGTAAATTTAAGTTTAGACGCTTTAGGTACTATATTAGACTTAAGACAATTAGACAGTGAACATTAATATAGAGATAGCTTGTTATTTTGATGCACAGTTTATAAACTATGCGATGTATGTTACCTTTTCAGGTAAGTGGTCCATCATTTTTTCACGTAGTACGATCAGCATTGCAGTATTCTGCTTGCAGAATTTAATATGTCTACTTTATTATTTTTGCTGATCAGGTCTTTATAGATCCTACGTTCTTCAGCATATTCGTTTGCGGTCCTTTGCAGTCCCTTGCAATTGTGGTTAATGTTTGTACTTTATAAATGTTTGGTCTTGTAAGACACGTGGTATGACGTGATTCTGTGGGTGTTAGGAATTCTGGGTCAGGGCTAAAATCAGAGTGCGCGGATATTTTTTCATCAGAGACTGATCTCTGATTGTTACGCCATACTGAGGAGCCCCAAAGAGGGCGAAACAGCTGTCTATGGCTACAATCCCGCTTTGTTTTGAGTTCTTTCGGTGTCGTGTTGATGTCTTGCAGAGTTAATTTTCACGTAGTATGATCAGCATTGCAGTATTCTGGTTGCAGAATTTAATATGGCTCCATCATTGTTAGCTATATTGTTTCCTAAATTAAAATGGCTCAGCAAAACGGAAATGCTTTTTTGTCAGTCGTTTGACTTTTTGTTCTTAAGGATAGAACCTGAACTTCGTTTAACCCAGTTCTACCAACTCTTGTCCTAATTGCTCTCATGAATTATGAACTGAGTTGTCAGAAAACTCCCACAGTGGTATATGCACTTTGTTGCAAAATTTGACTCGGAAACTAAAAATGCTTGAAAGGAACCCACTAAAAATCTATACTCTCTTTAACAGCTTTAAGTAATTAGTCAGTACTTAACAAAAAGGTCACCTGTAGAGTGAGGTATTCGTAGCTAATGCTGTTTATACATACGAATAGAGATCACCGCGATTGTGAATCAGGAAACTCATGGAAAATATTGCATTTCTTTTCTTTTGTTTTGTCTTCACACAGTTTCCTTCATAATGAGGGTCAACATGTCCATTCTGTCAATCGAATTTTTGTTCAAACATCCATTCTACAAACGTTTACAGATAAATTTATCAGAGTCGTGCAGAGATTGAAAATTGGAAATCCTTCTGAAAGCAGCATACAGGTAAGAACATACTTTTTAAATCTCATCGCGGCCGTTATATTATAAGGGGCGAGGTGTTGCTTTAAGGTCTCGGTAAAGGAAAACGAGGTGCCCACAGAAAAAAATTCTAGTCGCGCCAGTATTTTCGCTACAAAGGCAAGTTATATATCAAATTAAAGCTAAAAGACTAAATTACCTTATAAAATATTTTATTTCATCGAATTTCAAAAGGCGCTTAAGTTTTTTGCTCTCGAACTCAGAGGTATCGAGTTTACTGCTGAAGCTCCAGCCCTTTCGCGTTGTTAAATATTCACTTTCTTTTTATTGCATCTGATTGACAGATTAAAGACCTAAAAAAGGGTGTGAGGAAATTTGCATATGTCTCGTATTAGGGGAATTATTACATTTCAAACTAAAAAGTCGAATCTCGAGCACGATTTACGCAAAGAAACTGACATAAAATGAGTTACAAAGGGAAATCGGAAAATTCCTCACACCCTTTTTAAGTCTATATCATTATCCATCATATCTGAAAGTTTCAAAGCGATAGCTTAAAACCTGTCCCGACTGGAGGTCGGAGAATTTTGATTTTTGCGTCTAAAATAGAGTGAGAGAAAATCAGCTCTAAAGATTTAGCGCGAGGTCCACGCTTGGCTGGTTAGCTCAGGAAAGGCTCATTTTAGAAGGGTTAAAAAGCACTTTCTGATTTTCTTTTTCTGCCAAAATAAAATTTAGGACCCACTCATGCCAAAAATCCAAAAAAAACAAAATCGAGCAATGTACTAAAATTTTCATTTACCGAGACCTTAAGTATAGCCAAATACGACACTTTTAAGAGCTTTCATTTTAGTATCTTGATTTTATGTTACTAAATGGAGGGAAAAATTAAAGTGGGTTGACTATTAAGTCTCACCTGGTCTGCCATTTTTTAACCTTATATTACTGTATTTCTGTCGTCTTATGACAAGGTCGTCGGTATAATAATGATTATGATGATGATGACGATGACGATGAAGAAGATGATAAAGATAACAATCAATAATCAAATTAAAAAAAGCTGCAAATCAAATCTAGCTCTATTCTTAAGTGCAGTGGCGAATCCAGACATTCCGATAAGGCGGGGGCCCGGTCATCCAGACCCTGAGAGAAGGGAGATGCCCGGTCTCAAAAAAATTTTTTTTCGGCCCTTGGGGCCTCAGTTTGGTCTAAAAATAAGGGGGGGCCCGGGCCCTTCGGGCCCCTCCAATAGATCCGCCACTGAAATGAGTACTTCTTCTGTGTCCACTTCCTTAATACTTTAACATCAGCAAAAGGCGTTTTTCAAGGGTATGTCTGTAGGGCTTTCATGAATCAATGACGATAATTCATACGTTTTCAAAGGGATGCAGACTATGAAAAATGTGTTTCTTCTGTGCAAATGCCAACAATACAGAAAATTTATCCAGATCCACCACTGGTCAGAGTTAAGCTCCATTACAATACTCCTTAACTGCTGATCTGTTTTTTGACTTATTTTTTTGTAGGTTGGACCTTTAATAAGTAGGGAGCACAGGCAAAAGGTAATAAACCTTATCCAAGGAGCTGTAAACGACGGTGCAGAGATCCTGTGCGGTGCCAAAATTCCAAAACTAGACAGCAAGTTGAACAGAGGATACTTCTTAGAGCCCACCGTACTTGGAGGTTAGTTTAAGAGTTAGGTTTTAATTATGGTCTCAAGCGAAATATGATTGCTTTGAGTCGAGAATCTTGAAAAGGGTTTTTTAGGTCTGGGGTGTAAATGACATCAACATTCGAAAACACAGCTAAAATAAGGGTACTCAGCTATGAAACCCCGTTTTTTTTATATCTACCTCGAATTGTAAATGGAGGTGTCTCAATAACCAGCTATTGATTACCTCAATTGGCCCTGTATTAGACTTCGAAACAGTCAAGTCCCGGGTAGATAAACAGCGCGCCACTGACGTCATTTGTTCAATAACTCTTTCTATTATTGGGCTTTTGACGACAGGAAAGGCTTGAAATTATGAGTGAATAATAATACATAATGCATAGAAGGAGTGCAGCCATCAACAAGGATTGCTCTTAAGACGAGGGACATACGGAGAAAATAAGAGACTGAGGAGATATCCAAGGGCAAAAAAGACTCCTGGGATAAGGAAAAAAAACCTTAGGTTCCGTATCACATCACTTCCCAGATATGACTCTTACACAATGAGCAATGAAAAAAAAGACAATGTCCCTTAGTGACTATCCCTAGCTAGTGTTTATCTATAATGGTTTGTGGGAATTGGTAATATAGGGAAGGGATACACCTCCAATTGATCCTATGAGTCCCGAACGTACCCATTCCCATTGGGTAGGGTTTGTGCCTACTGAGGCTTATCCATGCAAGAAAACACTCTAAGAAGAGTATTTTGAATATGGTGGGATGCTATGTTATCCTATTTTACATTTAATAGGATTTCAAAGCAATTTTACGGACACTATTAACACTATGGAGGTTCCAGGACCAGTGGTAAATATGAACTTATATAAAATTAATCAAATGCTGCTTTCCTAAACTAAGTTGGTGTGAATGGGGCAATAAGAAGAGTGAGACTGGTGAGAAGGTGAGGCTTGCGTGGTTCGCGCGAGAATCTCACACTAGTACTTCGCGCCTCGCGCCTCGCGCCTCGCGCCTCGCGCCTCGCGCCTTGTAAACTCATAATTCATATTTTAGCGTTAAAAGTGTTCTAAACACAAATGTGAAGGGAGCGGTGAATGTGCCAAAATTGCAACAAAGTAAAGAGGCAGAACGAGAAGTAAGCTCAGGCGCCGCCAAGCGATTTTCATTATAACATAAGAACTGGACAGGAGATTTGTTAATTAGGCAAAGATTTAACTACAAGCTATGTAGCGATAAATTACAAAGCAAATACAAATACTTATCTGCTTGGTAGTTCCAAGGAGTTTTCAAGGTTCCAGAACAATATAACACAGAGAAGAAATCCTTAAATACTTTAAATCTTCTCTCGCATCTGACAAACAGCTTATTCTAAAATGGCGGCAATATTACTCTTTTTTTTTGTTTATGTTAATTAGCCCTCTTTACCTCGACTGTATTTGCCAATGAGAAAAGAACTTCGACCTTGAAACGAGGCCAATTAATATTATTCTATAGGGCCAATAGGCCTCTTTTGTGTGTATTTTTTGTTTTCCCGATGAAGGGCTCTGGGGAATTCGCACGTGAGTAGACAAAATATGTAAGGAACAGTTCTCAAAAGTATTATCATATGATCTACACGTACATTGTAAAAACAAAAATACAAGCTAAAGAGGTCTATTTAACATTATCAGTCGGCCTCCGTATTGGGGTAGGATGTATGCGCTTCGTTTTTTTCTGTCTTGCCGGGAAGCACTTTTTCATGTCTCTATGCAAATATAAATCACATTTTACATAATAATAATAATAATAATAATAATAATAGTAATAATAATAAGTACAAAATCATTCATAGCAAAGTAAATTAAAACTTTTTTTTCCAAAGGTTAGATTGATACCATTTCGCACCTCAGACGAGGTCATAGAAGCTGTTAATATAACGTCGTACGGACTATCTGCTTCGATTTGGTGCAGAAATGTTAGTTTAGCTCACTCCGTGGCAGACCAGCTAACTTTCGGGTAAGGCCATGAATGGTACCCTAAGAAGACAGGCGACGTTCCTCGACTTTACCACTGGCCATGCATGGTTTTCCCGCGAAATGACGCCTGAGGAACGAGCGCAGAAATCCCATACTGGTGACGCGTCACTACCCAGATCTGGATAGTGCTTCCGATTGGTTGCAGCAAATTTTCAACCAATCAGAAGCACCTCCCTAGGTATATTTAGGTAGAAATGCGTCATCAGAATGGAATCTCTACAGTTTTCTTCTGACGCCATTTTGCGGAAAAACCAATGGTGACTTCGAGAAATGCCTGCCGTTTTCTCAAGCTATATTAAGGCAGGTTTGAAAGAAAATGTCCGACTAGCATACACGCAAGTCTGTCCCCATTCCGAATTGAGAATGCCTGAGACCTTTAATCCTTCTTGCACAAGACTTCAATGAGCCTTGAATAACGATTCTTTACGTTTAAGCTAAAATTTGGCACAAATATTAATCGCCCCGGTTTGGTCGGCCGGGTGAGTTTCATTCTGAAAATAATAATTGGTTTTCACAATGGCTTGAGGTTTGACGAATACGAAGGAGAACAATTCGAATTCTCCGTAGTATTGCAATTGTCGTGACGATTTAATTGGTTCTGGAGTCTTGAGTCGGTGATTGCTGTGTTTCATCTGTGCTTTTTAAGAGTGAATCTTACCGTCTTTTCGTCACAGTGCTTAGATTTGGTCCCCACCGACTGATTTCTAAGAGATAGTTATCAAATACAAGGAATGAGAAAATTTACCCACAACTTACGAATCACTGTAACTCAGAAAAACAGGGGGAGAGACGGAGATTTGGCAAAACTTAATGTTTGTTTTGTTGTTATCTTATTTTATTTTATTTCTGTATTATTTTTCATTTGTAATTTTATTTTATCCTTTTTTCACTTCATTTCTTTTTCATGATCTTAGCTCGGTGTGGATAAACAGCTGGCTGCCAAACAATCCTAGCATGCCTTCTGATGGATGGAAACACAGTGGACCAGGAAGGACAGGAGGCCTTTACTCTATGGACTTCTACACTGAACTAAAAACCGTCAACATAAAATTATAAATCGTCCGAGACATTTAACTTTTTAGTAACCACTTAAAGTAACATAATATTAATAATATTTTATGATGAAAGATATTCATAGTTGCCTTGTAAGTTCTACTTCTCAGTAATCATAACTAATCATTCAAAATGACATAACATTAGAAAATTCAAGGATTATTGAATAACATATAACATATAAATTTTTTCTCTTTTTCGCGTTTTTATTCTTATTTATTCTTTTTTTTCTCTTTTTCGCGTTTTTATTCTTATTGATGATCATTTTCCAAGTAGTATAAACAAATTGTATAGCTTAGCAAATTTTCTTGCTTATTTTGACGGTTTTTTTTTTAGTATTATTTTGTCATATATGTATCTTGTTTTAAGGTAGTCCTTGTATAATCAACCTTATTGGCTTCCCTATTCTCCATTGCCTCATCATTTTGAACTTTTTGTATACACATTAATTAAGGTAATCTATGCTCTATACAGTGACGGATCCAGAACTTCACATAAGGGGGAGGGGGGGGTGGTCATCCAGACCCTGAGATAAGAGGGGAGCCCAGTCTCCAAAAAGTTTTTTTTCGGTCGGCCTTTCGAGCCTCAATTTGGTTAGACTGCGAACAGTCTCTCTTTTTCTTCAGATTTAGTGAAAGCAATGCACGCGCGTGGCCATTTGCGTGTCTCGCGTTTTGCTCGACGGACTACAGAAAAGAGAGAGACTGCTCGTAGTCTACAATTTGGTCTAAAAATAAGAAGGGGCCCTGGCCCCCCACCCAGGCCCCTCCCCTGGATCCACCACTGTTATATGTACAGTAAAGGAAGTGTGAAATTAAAAAGAGCATGCAATTTTAATTGAAGCGTGTAAACAGAAGAAATTGACAATTAAACAAAAGTTTCGCGCGGTGCTTTTGTTATTATTAGGGAAAAATTTTGACAATGAATTTGTTTTTTTTTTCTTGCTGTTCAAAATTGATCGTTCACATTGGTGAGGTTGTGAGTCTTAGGGCGTCGATTAATCCCGTTGCACAGTATTTTCCAATTTTTTGTGTCGAATTAGCCTAAATTTAGATACATAGAATTTGCATAAATTTAGGAGAGAGCGCAAAAAGCTGTGTGATTCTAAATTGTCGAACTTTTCGCGTTTCATGAATTTCACCAAATGAATGAAACTTGCCTCGCTTTGTTTCAATTTACATTTTGTGATACTTGCGGTTTAAGGCTTTATTTTTCAAAAGGATATAATGCTTTGTATGATTTGCTGTTGCTAATATGGAATTGGTTCAAAATTTTGGATTCTTCTGTTCACTCAAACAAATGTGGATGCGTACATATTGACGGTGATACGACTTTGGCAATTATATCAAAACTTTGGCGCCGTTTTCAGCTCACACTTAGAATCTTCATTCAAATATATTGAGTAATTCTATCACCTAATCATGTCATTGTAGAAAGTGACAACTTAGTGCAGTGCTTAGTGGCATTCAAACAAACATTGGAAAACACTGTTGTGAAATTACACGCAAAACGTATTATTTGCTAAGTGTTGTTTCGGTCCAACGTTTTGAAGCCACCTAAGAGAGAATTCTCCCAGTAACTTATATACTATTCATGAATGGAGTTAAGGAGGCCTAGCTCAGCTCTTATAAAGGCTTGCCTACTTTTCCTTTTTTAACGAACAATCAGTCAAATATCGTGGCATGTCGAATTTATTTGGCTAATTTAAGTCCACTTGTCCCTCATCCTTTCGGTGCAGTAATCCTTCTTATAATGTGATATTTTACGTACCTAAGGGGGAGAGGGGGGGGGTTACTCAACAACACTTTATATAGGGCTTCGTCCCGACGTCCAGCCCCTTACGATTTTATATATACCATTTTTGACAGAAAAGACGCTCTGTTGTATACCTTTTCTCACAAATGGTACCCCTTCCACATACCTAGTTTAGAACTTTGCATCTCTTTAACTGCTGTAAATTCGATGTCTTTTAAATATGATTATTATTCATTCAAAATATTTCCCCGATTCTGACTGGCTAAAAGCACACTCATAATTCACCATAACCAGCTACTGATGACCAAATTTGGAAGAATTTTGTGTTTAACGAGGAAATGACTGCAAAAATGCAGCCCGCTACAGGTTAAGGCACCGTTAACGGGAAAACCTGGGACGAGGTTGAGTTGTTTTGGTTGTGAAAAAAATGGCGGACATTTCACAAGTTTCAAGAGTAAGAACTACAGCTGGAACTAGGCGAAATAATAGGTAAAAATATGACAAAAACAGCAAGAAGACAACTCGGAGGGCGACATCTGCTATTTGGGAATATTTGCGGAGCTGGACAAACCTAAAGATACACTATCGAAGATAAACTTAACATCGATGCAGGTAAGCATGTATTAGCTATGTTTTTATACTAGGAATTATTTTGAATCAATAATAGAGGAATTAATGAATTCGCCTTTCGTAGGATATGAAGAATTAAGCAAAGTTTTCTCGACATTTTCTTAACTGACATAAAATGCATCTGTTAGCCCTTTTGCACCTTTTTATTAACCGAAATGGTAAATTTCCCTACCCTTTCATATACTACAACTAGTGAAATCGCCTCCTCCTGCAGGTAATTACAGAGAGTACCCCCAGGGCGTGCCTACGATCTGCTACCTCATTCCCAAACCCTTTTCACTCTACCCTGGTTTGCCATTGCATGTTTCCCTAAGCTAGCGGGTAAAAAAATCCATGCATATTTAATCACCCGTAAAGATAACGATGTAAAACAAATTGTTAATCATTTTAAAAAATAAAAATAAAGACTTTTTATTTTTTTAGCGGGAGTATGAAAACGTTATCATCTGACTGACAAACCTGAGAACGACGGTTAGCTCATTTTACCCTCTCCTCTCCGTGAGTTCACTATTTTACGGGTTTTAAGTCTTAAAGCTTCAAAAACTACAGGGAGAGGAAAAAATTGGAAACAAGGATTTGAAAGCACACTTCGGGTACTTGCCATTTACATGATTGGAAAAACCGAAAATTCCGAATGGAAAATCGAACGGTTCGCGCCATTTTTGGGGCAAGCTTCAGAAAATATGGGATGAGATTTAAGACGATTCCTTTTTTTTTAAGTCTTTACAATATAGTAAGGTGTTCGGTCCCTCTCCCTCCACGTTAAATTTTAAAGTTTTATTCTGTAAAATTAATGTACATTTCCACTCAGGTAATTTGTGTAAAAGACAAGCACCCTTGAAAATCGAACTTCGGGGCTTCTCGCACAGAAGGCCAACTGTGCCAATCCTTGTTTTGTTCTTTGATGTACCGCCAATCATTAACGGGCGTCCAAAATTTAATTAATAAAACACTTATAAAAACACTGGCAATAAGTCAAAAAGTGACAACTAATAACACCGGCACCAGTAATTTGATTTCATTCACTTGTTAAACAATTGAAATTTTGCATTAAGATATATTACGGCAACAAAGTGCCTAAGTAGATTCTGTTCGATGTGCCGGAGCGCTTCTCTGAGAAATCTTCAACTGAACACCTTCTATATACTTTTTCTTCGTATACGAAAAGGTGCAAAGTCGCAGAAACTGCTTCGAAGAGTAAACGCGTAGAAAGACCGGTCAGAAAGCCTACTATCTTTCGCGCCAAGAGGAAATGTAGGAAGTTGCCATAATCGAAAATCAAGCCAGGGGATATTGAGGTATTGTAGGGTTTCAACCAAATGATTTGTTTAAGGGGTGGAAATCTAGTTAAAAGCACTATTTTTCGTTGGTTCCTCCCTTTTTCTTAAATATCTAGCCAAAACATGACTCTGTTAAGTTGGAGTCCTTAATTCAAAAATGCTTTAAGAATTTTTTGGATGATTTTTCGAATGTTTTTAATGTATAAAAAAAATTGGGGGGTGTTTAACATGTTGGAAAAATTGGAAAAACATATATTGGATTTGGGGGTTGTTAAAACTAAAATATGAAATGAATAATTAGTAGACAAATACCAGATAGTCCACCGACACAACAAGGTGCCTCTGATCCCACTAGCGGTTTTACTGGTTTTTATGTGTATACCTTTTCTACCCTAATTTATTTCCTTCACAAATCAACATCATTTCCCCCAAAAAAACAACCGTAATGCCCCCTCAAGTTATTGGACATTAATCCTGGTGTCAAATCTTCACTGAAAGGAAAGGCTTATACGTTGACCTGCTAGACGAGAAATTTCCCGATTTAACGCATGTGAATAAACAGTATTCACTCACGTTTTATCAGTGTCTTATACTAGAAAAGTTCAGCACAGTTTCGTGTTGCTGTGAGTGCAAAAATACCAACTGCAGACAGATATAGTTTCAATCTTTCTCTTTTCAATTAACTACAGAAAAGGAGAGAAGAAATACAGTTCTTATCAACTTCCTAACTTTTTTCTTTAGGATCACTATATGATTCTTGACAAACTCTCTTAACTATTAACCTTCACTTCTCCTTTCGTGGTATCTTTCTACGGTTTGAGAACAGGGCAAAGTGCAGGAAATTAAGAAATATAACAACGCAAGAGAGCTATCTGGTTTTCAAGAATATGTTAAAAATATTCAGAGTTTTCACACAAAGCTGGTGTGAATATCAACAAATTTCAACTCTGATTATAGATATACTTGAAATACCATTGGTACTGATAGTCTTTTCTTGTTAAATGCTATTCATTGAGCAAAATTCGTATCTATCTACCTATCTATTGCTCTTCCTTATAACATGATGAAGTGAAATTGAAAATTTTGCTACAATTTTTCTTAGATTTCATCAAAAGAGGTTAATGAAACAGAGAGGAAACGCCCAGTCTAGCTCTTTTTAGGCCACCTACTGATGCTTGAAATTAATCGGAAGTTGGTTTCGAAAACTTTGATTCAGTGTTGTCGAGAGAGACTAATGGACATTGTGCTCTCTTGGTATGTCGTCCTTACCATATTCTGCATTGTTTGCCTTGAGGAAGTCGCGCGTGGACTTGATGACGTTTCAAACAATCGATTAAAATGTGAGGACGTACCAGGAATGAGGCCTAGGCCAAGCGTCGAACTTTTCATGAGACAAACCATACTCTAATTTGGGTCGACCTAAAATAACTTAAGATCGTCTGTTGGGTCAGGCATTCAACTTAGGACAAGGGGAACCTATAATCAACTGAATCACATCAGTAATAAATTTTCTACCGAACCAAGCTAAATATACATTATCACAAAAATAATTAAAAAAATTATTAGTTTAGTTCGTCGAATGTGACGATCGACTTTTGTCCCCGGAGACGATCTTCAGACGCTTGATCCGTATGAAGCATACCGATAAAACAAGTTAGACGATCCAATCTCATTCAGACGAACTTAACTGAGCCAGGTGTCGACGATTTCATGAACTTTACTCACTCAGTAAAAGTTTGACGTTTGGCCTAGGCTTTAGACTTCCTTTTAATTAAAACCTCTAAAAATAACTTTACTGATGTTCACATCTCTCGTTCAACCATCTAAGATTCACTGACTGTCTCATTATTGTCTCTTGATTCGATATAGTTTCCACCTCCAAGTTAATTTGCCTTCAGTGTGATGCAGTCTTTGTGGATCTTGATATGCCTCTCAATCGTAAGAGAGTTCAGTTCTGGTAAAGAGAAACTTTACATTGGGACATTCTATGGTGTGAATGTATCATCCATTGGTTGGAGTTCAGAAGGTGTTATGCCTGCTGTGCAGATGGCCCTTGATCACGTGAACAAAGATCAATCCATCCTGCCAGAGTATACTTTACACGAAGACTGGAGAGATTCTAAGGTAACCATAGTTTCCCAGAAAACCAGCAACTCTCATTACGCTCGTAGTCTCTTATTACGTTTTCGGAAATTGCAAGTTCATTATGTCTGTCAGGATACGCGCATTGCATAGTGCTAAGATCAGCCGATTTTTTTGCTGGTTCCCGCTCCCCGTTTCTCGTTTTAGTGACTAAAAACGTTTAGCATATACTAACACAGTGGATAGTGTTTTTCGCGCTCTCTGATTGGCTGCTCAATCAGTGAATATCCTGAACTATTCACTGATTCACCTCCAGTTCCTCCGAGCAAGAGACGCCAAACTCGCATAAGTTGCAAGCAAAATGCCTCCCCGGCTTGCTGCCGTAACAAACAAGCGTCGGTGGCCACTAGTCACCTCCACTTCGGTGAATAATTATTATACATTCTTACAATACAATTTTTCTTTACTGAGCGTATCGTTTATTTTACCTCCAGTGTGACAGCGGGGCGGCCATTAGAGCTATGCTAGACTTGGTATCCAAGCCTCCAACAAAGATCATGTTCACTGCCCCAGGATGCTCCTTGGCCGCGGAGCCAATCGCGGAAGCAGCACTGGACGAAAAAACGGATTTGCGTAAGTTTGCTAGTTGAGCAAATCTATTGTAAATTCAGGGTACTAATGTTGCTACTTATTTGCTCTTGGTGCAAATTTTGTTCGAAAGTGAAAGTTTACTTTTCTGCAAGGGTGGCGTAAATGTGGAGTAAATATCAAGTTTACAGATATTTTGTTTCACTTTTGCTCCCCATAGTAAATTTGGTGTTTAGATTCAAATTTGCCACCATTTTGTTCTGTGTGTAAAAATCGAACGTCAAAACTGAATGTTTGCTTCATATTTTCTGGCATAGCAAAGTTAATGTGTAAATTTATGGTTACTAGAGGCGTAAATTTAAGCAAAATATGATCAAAGAACTATCTTTACGACCACTTTAACCAACGTTTGCACATTTACCAAACTTCACAGTGTTATTTCACGCAAGTTTTGATTTTCCATTGCATTTTCCGTTTCAATCACCATCACATTCTTCTCAAAGTTTATAATATTACTTGCTGCAGCTGGTTATTTCATCCCCCCTTTTTTTTCGTTTAGCGTCGAATGCGTTTCCTGATATTGTGTCGGTGGCTCGGAAAAAAAATATCACAAGAAGTCTCGGAATAGGAGGCCCTGACGTAAAACGTTACCATTTATAATTTGGGTGAACAAAATGCACAATATGTGAAAGGTTTGAACCCAGGAGTCATTTCAATAGTAGATTGCAGAGTTTCATCGTCCGGGTGAATGTAGTCCTGAATGCACTCCGTCGCAAGATCAGCCGCCATGTTTGTTGCCCAGGCTTCCATGTGACTTTGGCACATGCGCGATTTGATTTACATTGTCACGTGCGGCTTTTGAACCAATAGAATAGTGTAAAATAAACTTTCGTTGAACAGTTCAAATTCACGCGGACTTCACAAGCGATACAGCGTTGCAAAACGAGTAGTTTTGTTATTTTCGGATAATAGAAAGCCTGTCTTTCTATTCAGCTGTTCTATTACGATTTATACCTTTGTTATCTTCGAGAGACAGTGATCAGTTGCGATATTCTTCACATAAAGCCTGTTTCCAAGTCATCAACTCAGCTGGATTGCAGAAAGGTATGTTCTTCTTGATATCGTGGTTCGTTTACTTACTTTGGTTTTCTAATAACTTTGCGTAAGCTTAAAACCTCAAAGATAAATCTTAAAATTTAAGATGCATGCACAGATATGCCATTGATTGATTCCTTTTTGTTTACTGCAGAAATAACTGTACTTTTGTTGCGCATCGTCTTCATTAATAGAATAATCTTAATAAGTAGCCGGATCTTGAGCTGTGCAGGCAAACATTTCTTTTACACCAATATAAGTCGGTGATGTGACCTTAGCATGTCCATAATTCAGAAATTTGGCTTGTTGTACAGCTGAGTTAATATGTTAGATATTTGGGGTTACTGTACTTTTCAGGTGACAGCACTTGACAAAGCAGTGGTCACTATAATTTATTATTTAATATTCTACTACATTTCAAATGACAAATGATTTCCCTTTGTGAAATTTTTACAATCAAAAACTCTTGTTTTACATCTATACATAATTATGGTTCAGTGATGTTGTGAAATCTTAATTTGGTTCATTTTGCAAGTGACGGCACAAGTTTGCCAGATCTTGAAGCATATGTGTCATTCTGAGTTACCATTGTATTATTGTTCCACATTTAAATGACAAATGATTCTTATTTCATAAATTGTACCATCCAAAACTCTTATGGTTTATACATATGGTTCAGTGATATTGTGAGATCTTAATTTTTTTCATTTTGTGAGTGACCGCACTTGCCAGATCTTGAAGCCTATGTGTCCCTCTGAGTGACCACCTTATTATTGTTCCACATTTAAGTGACAAGTGATTCTTCTTTCATAAATTGTACCATCCAAAACTCTTATGGTTTATACATATAGTTTAGTGATATTGTGAGATCTTAATTTTGGTTCATTTTATGCAGTGACGGCATATGCCAGATCTTGAAGCTTATGTATCATTCTGAGTGAGCACCATATTATTGTTCCACATTTAAATGACAAGTGATTTTTCTTTCACAAATTGTACCATCCAAAACTCTTATGGTTTATACATATGGTTCAGTGATATTGTGAGATCTTAATTTTGGTTCATTTTATGAAGTGACGGCGATGCCAGATCTTGAAGCCTATGTGTCCTTCTGAGTGACCACCATACTATTGTTCCACATTTAAATGACAAGTGATTCTTCTTTCATAAATTGTACCATCCAAAACTCTTATGCTTTATACATATGGGTCAGTGATATTGTGAGATCTTAATTTTGGCTCATTTTATGAAAGTGACGGCATATGCCAGATCTTGAAGCCAATGTGGCATTCTGAGTGACCACCGTATGATTGTTCCACATTTAAATGACAAGTGATTCTTCTTTCATAAATTGTACCATCCAAAACTCTTATGGTTTATACATATGGTTCAGTGATATTGTGAGATCTTAATTTTGGTTCATTTTGCTAATGACGGCATTTTTTTTCATTTTATGAGTGAAGCCTATGTGTCATTCTGAGTGACTACTGTATTATTGTTCCACATTTAAATGACAAGTGATTCTTCTTTCATAAATTGTACCATCCAAAACTCTCATGGTTTATACATATGGTTCAGTGATATTGTGAGATCTTTATAATTTTGGCTCATTTTATGAAAAGTGACGGCATATGCCAGATCTTGAAGCTTATGTATCATTCTGAGTGAGCACCATATTATTGTTCCACATTTAAATGACAAGTGATTTTTCTTTCACAAATTGTACCATCCAAAACTCTTATGGTTTATACATATGGTTCAGTGATATTGTGAGATCTTAATTTTGGTTCATTTTGCGGTGACGGCGATGCCAGATCTTGAAGCCCATGTGTCCTTCTGAGTGACCACCATATTATTGTTCCACATTTAAATGACAAGTGATTCTTCTTTCATAAATTGTACCATCCAAAACTCTTATGCTTTATACATATGGGTCAGTGATATTGTGAGATCTTAATTTTGGCTCATTTTGCAAAGTGACGGCATATGCCAGATCTTGAAGCCAATGTGGCATTCTGAGTGACCACCGTATTATTGTTCCACATTTAAATGACAAGTGATTCTTCTTTCATAAATTGTACCATCCAAAACTCTTATGGTTTATACATATGGTTCAGTGATATTGTGAGATCTTAATTTTGGTTCATTTTGCGAATGACGGCATTTTTTTTTTATTTTATGAGTGAAGCCTATGTGTCATTCTGAGTGACTACCGTATTATTGTTCCACATTTAAATGACAAGTGATTCTTCTTTCATAAATTGTACCATTCAAAACTCTCATGGTTTATACATATGGTTCAGTGATATTGTGAGATCTTTTATAATTTTGGCTCATTTTATGTAGTGACGGCATATGCCAGATCTTGAAGCCTATGTGTCATTCTGAGTGACCACCGTATTATTGTTCCACATTTAAATGACAATTGATTCTTCTTTCATAAATTGTACCATCCAAAACTCTTTTTGGTTTATACATATGGTTCAGTGATATTGTGAGATCTTAATTTTGGTTCATTTTATGAGTAACGGCATTTTTTTTCATTTTATGAAAGTGAAGCTTATGTGTCATTCTGAGTGACCACCGTATTTTGTTCCACATTTAAATGACAAGTAATTCTTCTTTCATAAATTGTACCATCCAAAACTCTTATGGTTTACACATATGGTTCAGTGATATTGTGAGATCTTAATTTTGGTTCATTTTGCGAGTGACGGCGTATGCCAGATCTTGAAGCCTATGTGTCATTCTGAGTGACCACCACATTATTGTTCCACATTTAAATGACAAGTGATTCTTCTTTCATAAATTGTACCATCCAAAACTCTTACGCTTTATAAATATGGGTCAGTGATATTGTGAGATCTTAATTTTGGCTCATTTTGCGAATGACGGCACTTGCCAGATCCTGAAGCATAAGTGTCATTCCAAGTGACCACTGTATTACTGTTCCACATTTTAAACGACAATACCTCATTATTTATACCTTTTGTACAGCTCAATGATGTTGAGGGATCTTTGTTAGTTCATTTTGCTAGTAAATGCTTTGGCTTTATCATGCCAAATAACCACAATTAATCAATTATTGTTCTAAGCAACATGTGGGTTGCCTTAATGTTACGTTTCTCAGGTTCTGACCGGTTTTACGGTTTATGTGTACAGTTGAGTCATGGTTGTGCTCTGTTAGAGCCTGGTGACCTGTGGGACACTATCAGTTCTGCTCTTGAATGACAGGGGAATTAATTTATTTCAGTCTTTATTTACACTTAAAAGAGTCTTAATGAAACAAATGCAGATTCAACAGAAAGAGGCATTTCTGCTCTCTACTTTAACACCTGTTCCAAAAACATATTATATATTTAATGAAAAAAAGTTAGTAGGAATAAAATGCAGGGAGAAATTTTTCTCACAAATATCCTCAAACTGTTCCTTTGATTAAGAGAGTGTTTTCAGCTTTTAGCATCATGTCATTGTTCTGCAACCCAATCATTTACACTGAGTATGAGCAGTATATGCTTGTTTACCAACTGTGGGTTACTTGTTGGCTGCTAAATCATGGTTCATCATTTTTCTTTCAGAAAAAAAAAAAAATTAAAAGGCCAATATGCTCTGAGGGAGTCAACTAGCATCAGTTAGTCAGACAAGGACAAGTACCTTGCATGTATGTCCGTTGCATATATGTCATCAGAGGAGTCTTTGTCTGAAACAGCTGTATCAGAGTGGCATGAAGGTAATTCTTCAGGTTCAGATGAGGACCTCCCAAACAGGGAAAATCTCTGTGTAAGGCCACTTTCCTGGCAGAGCATTGAGGTTAATGGTTTAATGGCCCAGTTGGACCGCAAAGTTGCATGGTATCAAAGTCAATGAAGTGAAAATAATGGTAATAGAGCACACAGTGAGACCAGCATCAAATCAAGGAGCACCAGACGATGCTCCTGAGTTTGCTCTGGCACCCACCACTTACAATAGAAAAAGGAACTTGATCATAAGCATAACACAGATAATTTTTGAAGAACATTCAGAAAAGAAGAAGACATTTTAGATAAAAATGTACAAAATAATAATAACACTCAAGTTGAAGTTGACATGCATCATGATTCAGTTCCTTTTCAGTTAAGTTCCTAGAACCATATTTACTCAGTAGACAATTGCACAATTTTTTGAGTTTTGATGAAGACCTACAATGTAGTAAGTGAATATCCTTTGACACCCATGGGATGGAGCCACGTTAATACTAGGTAAATTACCAAATCTCAAAGTGATTTGTCACAATCCAATGAAGATCTTGCCTGTGTTGCAGACACTCTAAACCTTCTGTATAGAGCATGCCGTCTGAGAATTAGTGCACAATATCATGTTTGAATCCCACTGGGTCACAAAGACATGCATGTATGTCAGCGTTTTGTGATTGGCTAGGTTCTTACGCTGTTTGTGATTAGTCCGATTTGAAATAAAGTGTTGACACAAAGTCACATAATCTCAATGACCTTTGTATGGTATGGTGGAGCCACAAACTTTCCCTTACCAGACAAATGTCTGCAAAATTTGCCATCTTTGCAGAGCTGTCCTTGTTAGTTTGCACCGAATCACTCTGTAACTTGGCAACTTTACTGAATTTTAAAACCTTCCATCTAGTAGCCTGTAAATGCAGCTGTATTTTCAGTCATCGTGTCCATTCACCCAACATATGTAATTGGAGATACATCTGCATCCACTTTCCATGGTGGTGACAGATTTCTAGGGCTACCCTAAGCACTGCCTTAAAAAAAGTGCCACTCCGAGGACTAAATCTAGCCAATACACCCCATAGTAGAGTAATTACTGGACTCCAAATGCCATGATCCTATTTTGTTCTTGGCATATTTTATGAAAAAAAAGAGTGCAGTTATGTTTTATGCAAAAAAAAATACCGTGTGTGATAACAGTTTTTGATAAGCATGGCTTAAATTTTAATCACCTGCATGCCAATAACAATAATAATGATGATGAATTAAAGAAGTTCTACAGAGCTTTCATAGTGTATAGATTGTGTTTGGATAATTTGGATATTTAATCAGTCCAATACTGCAAGCAAAACAGCTGATCATGTGAATCAGAAAAATATTGCTCAAATTTTTAGCAAATAATTTGACTTTTAGTTAGTTATTTATGGTCATATAATAATACAAGAATTTCACCAAATCATATTATTTACAGTGATATAATAATAATAATAATAATAGTAATAATAATACAAGTATTTAACCAAATCAGTGGATAGCAGATTTGCTTTCATAACTTGAAAAGCTTTTGGCTACCTATAGGATGAGAGTAAAATTGGGGTGTCATTTCATGCTAGTTTTAGAGGTTTAGCAGTAAATAAAGCACCTGTAAAATAAAATACATGTACATGCTAAAAAGGTGACAAAATTAACCTTATAAGTGTTTACTGCTGGGTAAAATATATCAAAGTCGTACCCAAATCATAGAAATGCACAGAGCTTTTGCATAGTAACTCATTTTATTTACAAGAAATATTTTTATATAACTGATTTGGTTAAAAATGAATCATACAGATGTATCTCTTCTTGGGGTAAGTGAATAGCACTAGGTACACTATATGATATTATTCACTGCCTATTTTGGGTAGTGGATAATATTTATCAGATGAAAACAAGTTCTTATAAATAATAATTAGAGGAATATCGCTTATCATAATAATTTGAGGCTAATTTTATTTCCTGTGGTTGATGTTCTGTCCGTTAATAAGGATGTCACATCTACATTGGGAGTGATGTGTACTTGTTGTCATCGTACAAACCATTTGCCAATAGTATCAATTGAATCTAGAAAGAGTATATTTGAAGTATACCACTCAAATGGAGTTACGTTTTACCTGTACCAACCTTAGATAATTATGAACCAGCTAGTGTTGACTTGCACTTTCAAACCCAATGTACATTCTTATACACTTATGAATTTAGATAGTTTCACATTGTATGTGCTTTTTATTTAAAGGCATATATTTTTGTGGTACATGCAGTGCCCTGCAGAGGCCAATGGAACTTTCTTTTAATTTATCTTGCTTTTTATTGTACAGTGTATATTAAAGATAATAAAGTCATTTTATTCTTGAAATTTTGTTTGGTGTCTTAATTGTTTGTGAGTCATTTATGGTACCAAATAAAAATAAGAAACATCTGGATAATGATGTTTTGATCAAATTTGCTATCTTGAGTGAAAGTGTAAAAAGTGATATTTTAATCAACTTTGTTTACCTTACTTTAAGTATGGAAAACTGCTATCATGGCAATATTTGCCATCCTGAGCAAAGATACAGAAGAACTGATATTTGATGAACTTTGCTACAATGGGGAAAAGTATGGGAAACTACTGTTTTGATCATATCTGCCATCCTGAGCAAACTTGAGAAAAAAGTGGTATTTGGCCAAATTTGCTACCTTGAGCAAAACAGTGGCAAACGCCTATTTTGATCATATTTACCACACTGAGCAAAGATACGGAAGAAGTGATAATTTGACCTCATTTACTACACTGGGCGATACACAAATAAAGTGAATTTTTGCTCAGATTTACTATCCTGGGCAAAACTGTTGAAAAATGAGTTTTGGTCACTTTTGCTACATTGAGCAAAAATGTGGCAAATTACTACTTTGACCGAATTTGCTATAGAGAGCAAAAGCATTCAAAATTCATCTTCGATCGCTTTTTTGCCCATTTGGGCAAAAACCTGACAAATGTCAGTTTTGCTATCAAGTTTGACACCCTGTAAATGCCTTGATAAAGTAAAGGTTATCCTTGTTTTTACACACGGGGCAAATTTGAGGCAAATTCGGCATTTACCACCTTTGCCACTGATGCAAAATTATGGCAAAGTTGGTCCTATGTCATGTGGCAAAATTGAGCAAAATTAAGCAAATGTGGCATTTGCAGATGATTTGCTCCAAATTTGCTATAGAGGTAAATCCGTTTTTTCGTCCAGTGCAGCCTCCTTTTGGAAAGCAGTACAGGTACCGATCGGGGAGACTGATAATTAGCATGGTACAAACATTAATAAATCTGAGATGCTAGCACTAAAGAGAATGAGCTAGCTTATTCTCTCTCGGTGCTAACATAGAATAACTCGGATAGCTAATTAGCTTCCAAACATCGGAACAAAATTGGATGGAATGCGGTAACCATAGAAAGAGGCCCGGTCCCCAATAGGTTTTTCGGGATCCGGGATTTCCCTTATTTGAAGTTCGGGTTTCGGGATTTTAAAGCAAAATCGGGGCAAGATTTGGGATTGAAAGTATGCGCATTTTCGATTTTGTTTCAATAGTTAAGTTATTAGATATATTAAGACCTTTATTGTAGCTAGACCGGTACCTCCCTTAGAAGAGAGTAAGCCAAAATAAAGATATGCTATACTACACTATTTTGTTTGTTCATTCATTCATAAAATTAGCTTAATAAATGTGGTATCTTATTCAGTTTTTTGTTCTTTTCCCACGTATACACCAGGTTGGATTCAGTAACTCTTCTCCTCTCCTCTCGGATGAATCGCGGTTCCCTTTGTATTCTCGTATCAGCCCATCTTCGACACTAAGCAACGCGGCCATAGTACTGGCGCTGAAAAGGTTGAATTGGAATCGCGTCGCAATTCTTGCCCAACAGGGTCACATTTTCACAAAGGTAATTCGGGTAAATAACTCCTTAAAACTTAAGGACTATTTTCCGGTAAGTTTACAGTAACCAAAGCCAATGAACGCTACAAGTTGCCTTCTGCCAGCACCCCCACTCCATAGTCACTTTTTGGGGAGGAGCGTTGCGTGACGACAGTAAAAACCGCTGTGTAGCAGACTGGCCTCTCCTCTTTTAATCAGTAATTTAATTTTGACCCTCGCTATAATCCTTACTAGGTGTCTGTACTGCAGTTGCAAATTCAATAAATTAAGGAATATGCCCAGCGCCTCTTACCGCTTTAAAATACCTTTGTCCCCCCTCTCTCCATAAATAATGACAGGTACCCAACGCATCCTTTGATATTCAGCTACTCCCAGTTCGACTGGTTTCCAAGATATGACAAACACACGACTTGAGCTAGAAGAAGACATTGCGTCTTCTTACAGATTCAACGCACAAAAACTGTAAAAACTGTAACAGAATAAAAATTAAAAGTCTTGAAATATATTTCGCACTTCGAGCCTCTTCAGTCAATGATAAAATAGTTCATATAAGATACATTAAAACAGCTTACGTGCTCTCTGGCGTCATGTAAGCCAACATGAGAGAACTTACTTCGTAGAGAGTGCGCCGTCACGTGCGACGATCACACGCGGAATGCTGAAATAATTCCACTCATTCTTAGAATTAATCAAAGAACCTTCTGGTGCTTTGTTTATTCGGACACCCTCAGATATTTGTCTTAGCCTGGCTTCATTGGAGTAAGATTTTATTATTGACTGAAGAGGTTCGAAAAGCGAAATATATGTCAAGACTTTTAATCTCTATCCTTTTACAGTTGTTACAGTTTTTGTGCGTTGAATGAGTAAAAAGACGCGATGTCTTCTTCTAGTTCGAGTTGTTCTAACATATTCCTAGCTTCGGTGTTTACAATTGTTCAGAGACAAACACACGGCAACTGAAAAAAATCTTGCTAGATAACTGCTTAGACACACCGAGCGGAAAAAATCTTCGTTGGCACTATGCCGCAAACAATTCTTTTAAGTAACCTCGTCACTGTTCCTCTCCTCTATTGAAAGTTTGTATACGAGATTTCAAATATGTTGTGTAAGTCTTTACAACAGCACTGTGATAAGTTTGTTGAAATAAAACGTGAGAGGCACTGTTGCACACAACTTTACTCACAAATTGATACAAATTGAATTGAAATTGATGCAATGGAAGGCTGACTAAAAATATTGCAAGGTTTGAAGAATACAGCATTGTCCTTACCTTCAAATTTATCAAGAATCCTTTGACCGAATGTTCGCATGAACAGTTTTCCGAACCGTAATTTTTAATAATAACGTGATTGTTAAACCTTCTTTGTACAGACTAAGGAAGATCTTATTTCCCGGCTTTCAAACAACGGCGTGACTATAGAGTTTACAGAGAGTTTTGCTGAAGAAACTAATTTTCCAATTCGTAGTACTAAGGTAATATTAAAGTACTTACCATATGTCTTACGCGTGTATACTTAGCAATTATTCCTCGAGCCCGAATGGGCTCTGAGACGATAGCCCATGAAATTTGGCCGAAAGCCGAATGAGTTGTTGACTCAGAGGCCATGAGGGCGAGGAATAATTCCTTTGGTAAAACTAGCTGGTCAAAAATATCGAGACAAAACAATTTTAGCTAGCAAAACGCGATTCAGTCGTCATTTTTTGGTTTTAATAGTAGGCGCTTTTCGCCACGAGTGGGCTATAACATATGGCCTAGTAGTAGCTCAACCAATCAGGAAGCAGCATTGATAATAGACCACTAGCTGGATCGATGTTACTACATCGATAAAGACCTTATTACAACTGTTGGTAAGGCGTACGTATTTCCTTTGCTCCCAAATTCAATAATGGACTCTTTGAGGGGACACTTGGGCAAATTTCGATAAATCATTTTATAGGACAAAGATGTCAGAATAATCGTTGCTCTGATGTATGAAGACAAGTTTATTAAAATAGCATGCCAGGTAAGTCTATATTTTCTAAAGACAATCCATAGAAATGTAATAAAAAAGTCATCGATTTCTTCGTACCATTTCTTCTCCATTAAACGCCAGATAGCCGAATGAATGCTGCAGATAACAAAAGAGAAGCAAGGAAACAACACTGAACCCTTCCTTAATATATAGAAAGTCCGAATAAACTGAAGATTAAAATTAACGTTTGGCCCACCGCGCAAAGAAACGTAAGGGAAGATTAACTGAGGAAATACTGTACTAATACGTTAGAAGGCTAGAATGTAAGCCCTCAATAGAACATTGGAGAAGATCATAAGCATGTCTTTTTTCTTTTCTCAACAAAACCTATAACTTAATACTTCCTACATTTTGTTTAGTGAAAATACACAAAATTTATGTACCAGAAATAACAGTCCTTATTTACATTGTTTAGGTAATACTAGGAGAGAAGATACAGAAAACTGTACAGAACAAATATAGGTTATATAACTAAGAAATATATATTAATAAGTTTTAAATAAGTGTTTACATTCACGTGTTTCATTGGGTCAGGGTTCGCAAGTACGCCAAATTTGGCGTATTTTATGCCAAATGTCTTAAGATGACTCCCCTGAGGTTACGGAGGGAGTCACTTTGACTCCAGAAATTTTCGGTTGCAAAATCGTGTTTTCCTCACCTTTTTCAAAACAAATACAGTCTACATTAACTGCAAACGTTTTAGACCAATTAAAGGATTATTCATGTGTGTACATGTAGAGGCTAAATTACAATAAAGATCACTCGAACGATGATCATCATGATGGATTGAAAACAACTCCCTTAGTTGTCTCACAGTTAGTTGGTCATTATCTTTAACCATCCTTTAGCCTATGTTCTTCTCTGGCATCTCCAAAGATAAACAAACGAGAAACGTGTATGTAAAAGAAAATAATATACGTGTCTCTTCCAGGCGTTTAAGCAAGGCATCTATGGCAGAAAGTATGTATGGTTTGTACCTGGCTGGTACAGTGAAAGATGGTGGGCGAATACTGAGGACGTTTCGTGCAACGAACACGAAGTAAAGACAGCTGCTGGTAACTACTTTGCCACAAGACCTCTTCGACTTGGAATATCCCCTTCTCCGACGATTGCTGGCAAGGTTGGGTAGTTTGTCTAAAGGTTTTTGCTCACAGTGAAGAAGAACACCTTTTACTTGTCGATGCTACCTCTTACTAAATTAAAAAGTAGTATAGTAGGGATGTTTTAGACCCCTCTTTTGGACAGGGATCTCGTTAAAGACGGCACGAATACTTGAACTTGAAAATGAAAATTAAGTCACAGCCTTTTGCCTTTATCTCATGAATCATAAATATACTGATGTGGGGAAATCACATTAACATAAAGCTATGTGCTATTTTATGTGGTTTCACCGGCTTAACATATGTTTTAAAGAATATTTAGACGTATGAAAATTAGAAAAACGTTCATTGATTGATTCAGTTTAACCAAGGAATACACGCCAGCCTCTCTGTCTTTTACATTAATAGGAAGTTTAAGCAGCGACCTTTTTGAGCGACGCACGTCAACCGTAAGTGGACTTTTTGCACCCTCGGGCCGAGATTTTGAACAAATTTTTGGACGAATTGTTTCTAAAAGAATTAAGACACTTGGCGTAGCGTCAAGGATTATTAAAAGGGAAAAAGGCTCACTTCCGGTTGACGTACGTCGCTGCTTAAGCTCCCAATTCACTAAACCGTCACATAATTATGAAGATTCTATTTCCTGCCCCTTTATTGACTCTCTTCGTCCATTGCAGACAATAAATCGTCCAAGTTCATTTTAACGAGGGAATACGCACACACCTCTCTATCTTTTACATTCACTAAACCATCACGTAATTATGTATGGTCTATTTCCTGACCCTTTCTTGACTATCTCCGCCCACTGCGCGTCCACTTGACGTTCTATGCCCCAACTCCGCGTAATTGATTGCGGTGCGCAATTGTGCATATCAACAAAGATAACGGGAATTTAACTCTACCACTAAAAGGTACTTACCAGTCCTTCTCAATTCCATTATTTTGCGCCTCGTGTGCGCTAAAGCGCCGCTATGAGAACTGCCCCAAGAATGTTAATCACCGGACGTTTGAATTGGATTAAACTCCGTCCTGATGCCATTGCATTTGTTCATGTTTTTAGACCGCAACTAAACTGAGCGAAGAACTGAAGGAGAGGATCCGAAGAGATAATTACCCTATTAACACGTTCTCGTCTTTCGCTTACGACACAATTTGGAGCATCGCACTGACTCTACACCATTCCTCTTCTATTCTGAATGCTCGCAGAAAGAGTTTGGTAAATGTAACATATGGGGACAGTGAGGCCGCTGACATTTTCATAAAGCTCCTTCGCAATTTGACTTTTCTCGGCATGTCGGTGAGTGTTCACTCGAAGAAGCTTTACTAAGATAGTTGTGATCAAAATACCTTGTGTTAACCCTTTAGAGAGACCGAGGCTCATTTGCCAGGGTTAAGTTTTTGTTTTTTGTGTTTGTTTGCTTGTTTGTTTTTTTAAAGGGAAAAACACAGAGTCACCCAGAGACAAAACAGCTAAAGTTAGCCTAGAATCTTAAGCTTAAACTTGGCAACCTTATCGCAGGAGTAGGAAGAGGGGGGGGGGGGTTGCGGAGGGAAGCTAGTATAGGTGAATCCTTGTTTACATTTTTTGTCTCATTAGCATATGCTCATCATTATCTGAGGAAGCTAATAGAACAAAATCTCTGAATATTGAAAGTGCATAACAATTTCAGTTATCTCTGAAAATTTAAGCCCGACATACCGAATAATTTTGCAAAAATTCACTTTGAAAAACCCCGAAATTAACTAAAGAATGTATGAGCTCATTGACGTTTTGCCAACCAGCAATTTTGCAGTTTTTGATTGCAAAGAGCTGAAATTACGCAAACATAATTGGTCAAATTAAGCAACTCTTTAAACTTTTGAACCTAATTTGTATATACGGCTCTTTTGGTTGACTCGTATGCTAATAAGCAAAATGTGAACAATGACGTCACGATTAATCTGCCTGTAATATAGGGTTTGTTTTTTTAAGTAAGCTCTACCCATACAGACAGTCACAATGTCGTCAAATATTACTCAGCCTTTTACTGGTTGGAAAGGCGCACATACGACCCTTTCAATGGTCATTTTGATCGAACGGTCCTGTAGGCGTTGGTGTACGGTTAATGACCTAATAAACGTGTCTTATCCAAGAAACGACCCCTGTCTAATAGATGCCCCCTGTGAGATACTCCAAAATACTAGAAATTAGCAAAAAGGAGAAAAATCATTCAATGCATTCAGCTTCTTGTTTGATTAGCGAGGGTTTGCGCATGTCATCTTGTTCGATGCCAAGTTTAAAGTAAGGATACACTAACGATAGCAACACAAACAATGACAAAGGATTCTGACATCGATGTTAGGATTTGAAAGAGCAATATAGATCTCTAGACGGCCTAGACGTATCAATTGTGGGAGTGGATATTCTGCTATTTTTCAACTCTCTTGACATTTTCGCCTCTTGATACTTTTGTTACAGTTATAAGTATAAACGCCCCCGTTTGGACCCCCAGAATAAATAGACACCCCGGGCGTTTAATAGCTCATTTACGATTTCCCTTATTTCTTTTATGTAATTTACCAATTACGTTACATATTTGCCTGTATACGTGCTTTTTCCCTCTTTTAGGGAACGGTAAAGTTCGGTGATCACGGTGAGCGAGAAACCACGATAGAGATTTTACAGAGACAAGGTTTGAGAATTGTTTTCGTTAGACCTCGTAGTTCTTGTTTACGCTCTTCTACACTAAAATTTTCATTGTAGATATCAAGTACACGACATCATTTCAGAATTTTTCGCATTTTGTTTGAATTCATAGGCGATGCAATGATAGTGGTTGGTTTTTGGAACAAGTCTTCAAATAACATTGATGAATCGCTGTTTAGTTGGGAAGGTGAATGTGTTCCACAGCATCACTTGTTTACTACCTTAATTTAATTTACATATAAATTTAACAATTAGAAATTAACAAAACGGCAGACAATTTTGTTTGAATTGTCACTGACGATTATTTTGATCCAAAACATTAGCAGTAAGAATATGATCCTATCAGAATAAGGTAGCTGCAAAACTAAAGACGGGCGGTCAGCAGTAACTCGCTTGACGGCGCACGTTTTAAATTAGACAAGCAAACATGGCGGCAAAAAAGCAATAGTACACAGAAGACGATTTCTCAAAATCTAATCATTAACATTTTGTGATGTTTGGCAGAATTTTTACTTTTAAGTTTGTATTCAATCGTTTATGTTGCCATGGAAACTACGAAAACGTCAAACTTTACCTGTCAATCAAATTTCAGCTTGTGAGCTGCAACTTTTCTCTTGCCATGATTTGGCAAATGACATATACTCACAAACTTCCAAAACTGTGTTCAGCCGCCTTAAAGGACTTAACTCTAAAAATCACTAATTTTGGCGTTCATGGTTCATTGCTTGGTAATAGCTAGAAATCTGCTTGAAATTAAATATCCCGATGTATGTAGCGTTTATAAGTAGCCTAAGAAGCTGAAGAATCGCGATACAAGAGATTTGTAACAAAAATCAGAAATACGATCTGTCGAACCGAACCCTAGATACCATCAGCTAAAAGGAAAAAAGAAGTCAAACACAACACAAACATTCTCATGCAGCAAAACAATTTCGACGTACATCTCAAAAGATCCATCCAGAGTCTCTTTTGTAGGTAACCTTAAGGGCTAAATAGAGAGATCGGTACAGGACACTAGAGATGGGACAGTTAAAGATCGTTTCTTACTCTGCTGGCCTAAACCCCCTGTTTGACCAATCTGAATGAAGTTACCAGATAATTTTTTATTTACTTTTTAAAATCACCGTTATTTTACGAAAGGACTCGTTAAACTACTTAGGTAAATACGTAAACCGCTACAGTTTACGTTCATTCCGAGCTTTCTTTAACCTTTTTTGTTTGTGTGATTTGCATCAGGTAAACGTCCAAGGGATGGAATGATTAACAGAAAAGATGATTACCAAGAGTCTTACGAACAAACTATCATAACATTGGCTTTGTCCGTCACAGGAATGTTGTTTTCATGTGCATGCTTGGTAGTAAATATCTCCTACAGGAAATATAGGTTAGATATTCAAAAGGAACATCCTTTTGTTTCCATGAAACGAGGGCGGACCCAAAGGAAGTGTTCGCTTAATCTTTTCCATTACTTTGCACAACAGATTTTGGAAGACATACATATATGATCAATGATTGTGATTGTGATTGTGATGGGAATGCGAGTATTAATCACAGAGCATTGCTCTCCCTAATGAACGAATTTAGTAACAGAAGCAGGGCTTCTGACTGGTGATCGCGAAGGAAGTGCAACCCAAAAAATTTTATTGTCCTGCATTGACTGACGACTGATGTAGTTGTTTCTCGGCGCTCAGGTTACTTTGTCAGTTAGGACAGGTATTCGAGGGCGGAAAAAAAGAATGACGAAAGGCAGGGACCAAAACTAAGTGTTAGTAAGTAAAGTTGAGGTGTTACAGGGGCGGATCCAGGATTTTTTTAGGAGGGGGTGCATTCGTCTCTTGCTCTACTTCAACACCAATAAACCACATAGTCTTTTTCTTTTGCAGAATACCAGTTGTATTAGAAAACCACAGGTCATCCCAGGGGGGGGGGGGTGCGCACCCCCTGCACCCTCCCCCTAGATCCGCCCCTGTGTTATTTCTTGCAAAGTTGATCATCAAGAGAAAGCTTACCCACTCTATACTTCCAGATAACACAGGCTTACTTTGCCGCCAGTGCCATCAGTAAGCAAAATAGCTGATTCCAGTTTGCATAGGCAATAGCAATATTTTACATAAATACCACGAGTGATATTTCAAAATTGTTATAGGTAATTTCACGAGCCGTTGGGCCAGTGAAATTTGAGACAATTTTGAAATATCTCGAGTGGTATTTATGCCAAATATCGCGTACCAATCCAGCTATTATTTGTTTATACTGCTACCCGCAAAAGGTTTGTAATTTTCACATGTAGGTACTTCAAATTAAGCTGAAATACCACTGCTCTAAGCCAATCAAATTGCAGAAATTTCTCATGTAGTAGTATAACTCAACGGTAGCCAACAGTCAACTTACAAATTCACCTTGGGATCAAAAATCGAAAATTAGTGGCACGTTTTTCGTAATGAGTATACCCTTCGGGCTAAATTTGATTGTTCTTTTACTAGAGTTATCAAGATGTCGTCACCACACTTTAATTCTGTTACTGCCATTGGCTGTCTAATGATCTACACGCATGAGCTGTTGGCGTCATTTAACAATTCAAGAATCTATAGTGGTGACAGTAGAAGTCTTTGTCTTGTAAGTAGTTTTCTCGCGATTATTTCATCTTTGGTTCGTGTTAGCAATTATAGCAATAAAGCAGATGATTCCTAAACCTCAGTCAAACCGTAGCAAGATCAGATGAATTGGTTTTTCTCAAACAATGAATGAACGAATGAATGAATAAATGAAGGAAAGAACGAACGAATTAACGTGAATAAGATCGGGAGTCAAAACACGTGTCATTTAAACGTGTTAACAGTAACCAGGGACGCGCTTACAAGGGCGCCACTGCAACCCACTCAGCCCATGATAACAATTAGCCTGCATTTACTGATAATGAATGCTGCAACCGATTGACACACCCTGTCAACATTGTGATTAGGGTTAAACGTTCTCTTCGATTCGCTAAACATTTATGAAGTTATTTCGCTACCCCGTAGCATAGGAAGCCCTTCTTTTCTGTGCCCTGTTTCGTCCGTCAAACAATTCACACCACGTTAATTACAATTTATTTAACATGTCTTTCTTGTTTTCCGTAGGTCAGTGCGAGTCTCATCGTTATCGGCTTTACGTTTATCTTTGGAGGAATGTTTGCAAAAACCTGGCGAGTGTACAAAATCTTTACAAACAGGCGTCTCAAACGCGAAGTATGAACAAGCTGTCGTTATTGCCTCTTTTGTATTGTTACTTTTATACAGTTTTTATTCATCTATTACAGAGAATAAATGGCTTTTGCTGAACTTCTTGACCTCTGAAAAATTAAACAGAAGCAATAGCCGCCGGCGTAGGAACACAGTGAGAATAACTCAAGACAAGATACTTTTAACTTGCATTCTGAGTTGCATGATACCTTGGACTCACTATTTTAAATTTACTCATAACATAGCGGGAAATACTTTACCAACGTGCTAGACATAAATTGCAAGCAATCGGAATAAATACTGATATCTCTCGTGTGATACGAGCACCATAAATGACAATAATGATAATAATAATTTATTTCTCGCCTCATAAAAATCCACCCTTGCACTAGGGCCTTTCTTTTCCTTGCTCGATTTTGGCGTCCTCAAGAAAGACCCTGCATGAATCGAGTAAGATCTTTGTTGAGCTACATGCGCCGCATGTAGCTACGATATCAATCTCGTGCCTCGAGTCTGCGTCCCTTACTGCGCATGCTGGCTTGACGAGAGGAGCGACCGCTGGTCAAGGGGAACGAAAACGCTGGGTACGAGGGTGCTAAGATATCTTTTCAAACCCAGGCCTAACATCCGTGTGCGCGCTACAGCGGGCTCAGTTATGACATTCGGTTTATCAATAAGCGGATGCTCGCACTCAATAAAACCAGTTTGACGAGAGAGAACAAGATTGACCAGTCCAGACGTTTGGGCTTCGGTGACCTCGAAGGTTAAACGTGATTCAGGAAGAGATTCCTTTTCTTTTTCTCACTCAAGAAGAGAAAAGGATGTGCGGCTTGAAAAAAATTACTAAACAAATAAAGTGTTGTTTTCAGAGAAGCTGAAGGACAGATAACATTTTCTATGCCTTTTTGTACACCAATTCTCTTGTTTGGTTTTCTTTCTTTTTTCTTTGCAGATTGGTGGATTAACCACGGCGCGACTCATGACAAAAATTTGTTCTATCTTACTCCTTGATACCGTGGTCTTAGTTAGCTGGGAGCTTGTTGACCCATTGCAGTCAGAACACATAGAAATCTCAAAAGAGGTATCGAAACAAAAAGTTGAGGTTTCCAGAAGTTAGAGAAGTACGGTCGATTCAAATTTCCGTTTTTACGTGTGACGCTTGCGCAAAAACAGGGTAAATTGAAGTCAGAAAGGAACGGCCAAATTGCCGTCAACTTGGAATTCTTCTGCATGATTATATTCACTTAAGACATAGATTACATGCACCTAACACAAAATTAGGCTTGCTCCTTCCTCTTTACGCGAACGCAATTTAATTAAAACTAAATCTGATAAACGATAACAACAGAACTGACATATCAATCTGAAAAACCAGCAATTTTTGTTTATTTCTCTTTTTTGACATCGACACAATGACATAGAATTTGGTCGAATCATTTTAGTTAAGTTGTTTTCACCTATTGCTTCACTTGAAGTTATCAGTACAACTGTATACGTATTTGTAAAATGTGAAATGACGAGATCATGTTTTTCTAAACTTATATAACATTTTCCGTTCGATCTTTTTACTTTAAGTTTCTTTCAAACGATGAAGACATACAAGTCCACATCTTCGCCCATCAATGTGACTCGAAGCATTTCAAAACCTGGATGCTGGGAATAATCGCCTACAAAGGGGTTCTTCTTCTCTTTGGCGTTTTTCTTGCCTGGGAAACAAGAAACGTTCATTATGCGGAGCTCAATGATTCCAAGAACATTGGTTTAGCTGTCTATAACATCTTGGTGTTTTCTGCGCTCTCCATCACGGCTGAATTTGTGTTAAATGAACAAGCATTCGCGACCAAGAGAATCTTTAACAATTTACTGATGTATTTATGCACATCCATGGTCCTTATTTTGGTATTTCTCCCTAAGGTATATATTGTGAGGGATAAATTCCAACCTTTAACTACTTAACTTTCGGAATTCATGGAACTTTTAAGCTGATATTTTTCGAATTTATGTGCTCATTAAATCATTGCTTCGGCTGTAAGTCAGATACTTCAAGGCTTTCCTTAGGAACAAGCGAAAAGAAAAGTGAATGCTAGGGAAAAAATTGGACAACTGAGAGATTAGAACTACCTTTACACTGATTGGTATACAGAGGAACTTTTTATTTTAAAAGTTTTAAGATGGTTGTAAGGCAACAGTGAGACAGAAGCCGTCAGTGGCCTCGCTGTCCTCGATGTTAACTTGGAAACACTAGAGGTTCTTTTCTCGAGTTTAAACCTTTTCAAAGTTAAGTGTAACAAAATGAGGTAGGGCTGGTAGGTTTCCCCCTTCCTACACCGGCCTTGTGCTTCGTTCAGTGTGGATAAGACGTTTTTACTGGCGGTTAATTTTCATTACTCAAAGACACTGGAGTTACCTACGTTCATATCTCAAAACAAGACAAATCTTAAGTGACGGTCTTGGACACTGGCTTGACATATAGTTTTATATATTATACTACTACATGAGACATTTCTGCAATTTGATTGGCTTAGAGCAGTGGTATTTCAGCTTAATTTGAAATGCCCGTACATGTAAAAAATTACAAACGTTTTGTGGGTAGGTAGTATAAACAAATAATAGCATGATTTGTACGTGATATTTGGTATAAATACCACTTGTGATATTTCAAAATTGTCTTAAATTTCACTCGCCTAACAGCTCGTGAAATTACGTATAACAATTTCAAAATATCACTCGTAGTATTTATGTCAAATATCACTACAAATCATGCTATTACCTATACTAATAACTGTCGCCAGAAATAGCATGTTACTGTCTTTGAAAATCTTAACAAAACATGATTCTGTGGCTTTCTTTAAAGGGTGCGTGAAAAACTGGCAATATAGGCTCGATTGATGTAGATCGGGGTAGCTAGATTGTGTTGTTTGTTATCCCTTTTGCTTATGACTTTTTGTTTGTTTTTGTTCTTTCTTTTTTTTTTTTTCAGATATCGCGCCTTACTCGTAGGAGAGAAGTTCAACCCATAGAAAGTGGAGACCACGGACTATCTCGTCAAAGCTCTCTTAGACAGCGCCACCTTAATGCTGGAGAATCTAGCTTTGTAGTCTCAGAATCTGAGCAAATGACTCGTTAACACCGTCTTTGTTGAAGAAGCACTTCTTTAAAAAAAAGAAAGCTCGACTAAGGATTGTGAGCTGTGGAATGACACCCTGAGAACAATTACAATTCACAATTTATTTTTGTCATTTTATTATAACACAGTAACAAAGAGGTTAAACATCATCACGTTTACGTCAATTTGTACCACGTGACCAAGTTTTCCCTTTACTTGTCGTTTAATGTTCATTATTTCTACACATAAATTAGTAGTTTCACGCAATTTTTTATCCGTAAGAATTGTTTGAGCTGTTTTTATCTGCTCACTTTCTATTCCGTTTGAGAAGTTTGCCGTTCGCCGTAAACGTACACCTTAACTGATCTCTCTAATAAACTACAGAAAGTTGTAAGAATATGGCAAGAAAGCCCAAAGAAACCATGAGGCTTATACAACATGGGCTTTCTCTAGTAAATTACAAAAGAAAGACTTAATATTAATTTAACTGAATGGCGAAGGCAGAGTAACAATAATGCGAAGGAATAAGGTATCAAAAAAAGAGATAAACAAGGAGACAAAACAGAAAGCTGAACGTTGATCTCATGTAGTCAGACCAGTAAAAATATCCCCCTTAGAAAGAATAACTTTACAAATCACAAACTTTCAAAACGGATAGCAACGATAAACACGAATTTGGAAATGAGTCGGAAGCATGTTAAGAACCGGCAGTTTTAGGACTGAGGAAAAAATAGCAGAAAAAAAAAACTTAAGCTTGCCATAATAGTCAAGACAAATCACATGAATCAAGTGACATGTGTGATATCAGGCACAATAATGAACAGGCGGAATAGTATTACATTATCTTAACTATATTAGAGAGCCAAAAAGCTTACTGATATCAGTATGTCAATATGGCCAAATTTTATAACCTAAACAACTGTTCTCTTTAGGAACGGCGCTCAAATTTTTGGTCAGTGACATTGTTCGTTTAGTATGAACTTAAGATTTTTTTCAGTGAATGTTGTTGCATGACTTATTAGAGCCTTTCTGTTCACAGTCAGTTCAGTTGAGTTGCCACCCAAAACAGTTTGTCAGCCAAATCATACGGTAGATTTAACGTAATACGTAGTGGTGATTTATTATTCACAGCATACAGTCTTTTTGTAAGCTTCTCGAAATTGTTTTTGTGTCAAACAGTACATTATAGGATTGACCGCGCAATTAGCTACCCCAGTGTACGGCATGAGAAGGTAAACGTGTCGTTGAAGACTGTAGTCTCCTCGAATCGTGTCCAAAATCTCGACTGTAAATGCCGGTGTCCAGCAGATCAGAAATGCAATCAGTATGGCAAAAAGAACTTTCGTCACTTTGACTTCCGCAGCAAACAATTTCTGGTCGTCATGGTGCAGCGAAGACTCGGCGACTTGAGCAAAATGAACGCGATTTTTAAGAAACACTTTCAAGGAGCAAAATGCCATAACTGGGTACGTAATGACGAGCAAGATAAAATACGGGACAAGAATAATCGGCAGTGTGTTTTGATCTCCGCTCTTGCAAACAAAGCAGTTCACTTTACCAGCATGAAAACAGAATTTCTGTAGGCCAAATGGAATAACAAAAAATGCAGAAAATACTGCACCTGTCGTGATTGATATCAGAACATGCTTTCTGGTGTAGATCTTCTGATAAGTGCTCGCTGATTTTACAATTTTGAAGTAGCGATTTAGCGCTATAAGACTCAAATTCAATAGCGAAAAGCAGGCGGAGAAATAAATTAATGCTCCCTGTATCTGACATACTGTTTCACCAAAGGGCCAATGTCCGATTATCGTTACGACGAAAGCTATAACCACACAAAGAAGTGCCAACAAAAAGTCTGAAATTGTCAGGGCGAATATGTAGTAATGCTCAATTTTGCGTCGTGTGCGGAACCTGTAGATTGCCAAGCAGAGAAAAATGTTCCCAACCAGTGCCAAGACCACAATAACAAGGGCAGAAGTTGATTCGAGAATCACTGACCACGCTTCCCTGTTCTTTAGAGCATCGTCCATTCCCTTTTTTCTTTCAGATGGACTAATCATTGTGTAAAGCAAGGTGGATCAGAATTGTTTCTTTATGGCTTTTCTGAGCACAAAGAACTCGCTAATGTCAGAAGATATATATTACCGTATGGACTTCACGTAAATACAGTATATTGAGGTTAACTTTCCATGCGCTTTTATTGTGTTGCTAAAAGAAGTAATGACCATTTACATCTCAATTTGCTGTTCCATTGAATAATTATAAGTTATTAAAATCAAATATTGTCACAATCTCATAGTGTCACTTTATTCGAAGTTTTCTAAGAAAACTTCGTGTTTTATTAACTTCGCAACGCACTTGAACGACATTTGGAGCCGACAAGAAATGATAGTAACGGTTTTTACACTATGTTTTTCTCCCAGATGTTTCATGAACTACACTGTATTTGCTGGGGAATGCTCCAGGAGGACCCCATATTAAATCTCAGGAGCATTTGAGAACAATAACTTACGAAGACTGATTTAATTGGTGGCTAATACGGGATTAAAAAATATTCAAGGTCTTCAAGGATTTCGTCACAAATAGTTTCCTATAAGTTAATTAATTAATCTAATTTTCTTGGTGCTGCAATTTCAGACAGGTTCATGCTACACTAGAAAAAATAAGGATGCTTGAATTAAGTTATTTCTCACTTTTTCCTTTATTTTTGTAAGTATAAACTACTAAATTATAAGTCCTACTGATCTGGCTTCACCTAGATAATCAAGCCTGACACCTGTTAGTTGTTTGATAATTTTCTTATTACTCAAACAAGAACGGTTAAGAGAAGGATTTTTGTTAAAATTAGTTGTTTTAATTATTTGTCTTCTGATAATCACTTCATTGGTTGCTTTATGTTTTTCGTATTCATAATTCTGACAACAAATTATCAGAACTTAGAAGAAAATATAAATATAACCCAGCAAATGGGCTATTCGAGACAGCTATGCAAACCCGGAGATAAAGTGATTAGCGCGCGAAAAGCTAACATCTTGACGTCACAACCATGTTTACATACTCTCATGCAAACACGCCTCTCGGCCAATCAGAGCGCGCGTATTATCTTAGTTGTTCTACATTTACGGATATCTTTTCCTATGTCTTTATTTGACATTTAGCTTCAGGATCCGGTGACTTGAATCCCCGGATCCCCATCGCTGTACTAAAGGATCGCGGCTTCTGGGAACGAGGTTGAGGCTAGGGCCGATCTTCATTTTTTTAGTGATTATAAGAACGGGTACTTAGAGGCGCATACGAAGAATCAAATCTGACTAACATTTTTCTTTGCCAATTACGGGTTTCATTAACAAATATGTGCAAAATATCTGCTTTTTCTCATAGTGACCTGGTCGAAAACCCATCGATGTGAAACGTCACAAAGGAAGAAGAATTTTTAGCCGGGGACTTTTAGCTTTTTAAGATGTACATATAACACTCGGTGGAGGCCACTTATACGCAATAGAGTCCTTTATAATACATACTCCGTAGATGCCTACGGGTACAGGAGAGGTAAACCAGTTTGCTAACAATAGTTATGTCTAGGGACAATGATTTCCCAGATGTGGTTATTGTCCGATGGCCTAGCAGTCTCCCCGCGTTAAGATGATCTACCCGTTATTATCTATAGAAGTAATTTACCCGGTGTTTCTAAAGGTCTCCGACTCTGACTGTTATTAAGAAAGCAGATTATAATGAGTGAATCAAGCAACTCATTCTTCAGACATGAAATATGTACTGAGGAAGATAATGGTCAAAAAGAACTTAATTCATAAAATCACGAGTGAAGCTTTTCAGTTTGTTGTAGAAACTTTCACCTTCAAAATCCTCAAAAGGAACATTTATGACAACATTATCATTTTTTGTCACTTGGCCAGTGGTCCTGTCATAGTAAAACTAAAACCTTTGTTTTCAATATGTTTTATGCTGACTAATCAGGAGCGTACCTAGTTTGACGACAACTTCGTTCCCAGGTGCGAGAGAGCAAGGAGTGAGAGTAGGCGAGGACCCTAGAAACGAGGTTGGTTAAATGCATGCAGTTTGATACCAACAGACTATGTGCAATCAGCTATCCTGGTTTAGATAAGCAAAGCAACAACTTTCCACGACTGAAACGTGAAAGTGCCTTATTTCACGCTTTGTCGGGTACGGGAACACAAGACAACAACTTCCTTTTTCTTTTCCTGGACTTTGATATAGTCGGTTAGAATTAAACTCCAAAACATTTTGCCAATATTTGACGAGTTAAACGAGAAGGAAGAAGCGCGATGAAGTTTGAAGCAGCGCAAATTAAGTGACGTTTTCGTAGCCGTCGCCGTCGTTGTTGCTTTAGGGAGCTCTAGCAACGACGGCGGCGTCGGCAACAAGGACGTCAAAAAAGCAATAGGTTTATTACGCAAAACAACAACTTTGCACGTGCATCACGATTTTTTGTACATTTCTTTACCGTCCTTGCACGCCTACGACGTGAAAATGCCTAATTGCAAGTTTTATGGAGGACGTAAACAAGCGACAACGAATCTCTTTTTCTCTCTCTAAACGTGAGTGCGGTCCTCAAGAAATCAACTCCAGGGAAAATCGCCTACGCTTGCCATTTTCAGCAAATTAGAATAAACGCGACAAAGATTGAAAACACGGGAATTCATTTTAAAACTGACGTTTTCGCTGCCGTTGCCGTCGTCGATGCTGAAGCCCCCTTTTAGCTCCTCAAAGGTTGATTTCCACCGACGCGTTTTTGGCTACGCGCGCTAACGCACGTTAATTTTAATCACGTAAATAAAATAGAGGCAAGAAAAAAAAGTGCTGAGCTTAAACGAGAAGTTGAGCGAGGCTCAACTTTTACGCTTACGAGCGACCTTTCATGGAATGCCTCTATTTTATTTGCGAACATAAATTCTACACACGTACGCGCGTAAAAATTACGCGACACTGGAAACGAACCCTGATAGGTCGCAAAGATCGTAACCCTTTTGCCGCAGTGGGTAATTTCAGTTACACAAGAGCCGGTGACAGCGGACAGGCCAAGTACAAAAACAAGCAAAGTGAAACCAACTGAAAGGCCTCCCCCCCCCCCCAAAATAGTGACCCAAGCTGGATTGAGTGTCAGTGAGGGGAGCGCAAGAAACCGACCCTGTGAAAGATCTATGTACACCATACGAAAAAGGTGGACTCATACCTCTCGTGTTTCAGTCTAATTGAAACAGTAAGATAAAAGGTTTCACAGGTTGGCATGTATCTGTCTCATATCCAATAAATCTGGTGCTTAAATCCCTCACAACGCATTTTCGTTGAAATGTCCGAATCGCCTTCCGATCAATGATTGTGCAACTTTGCAATCTTTCAACTCAAGAAATAACAACCCCAAGTCTTTAATTATCTGGTCTGATAACTATAGGACAGTGCCTAGCTGGCAGTAATAATTTGAATGGTATTTCTGAACAAATGCAATCTATTGACTGTGATAGGTTTACTCAGCCTATTTCTTAGACCTAATAAGATTGGGCCTAATAAGATTGACACATTTAACAGTTGTTATAACACAATTATCGACAAGTTAATTAGTTTTGGTCGTTGCTGCGGCAATCATAATTGACATTGCAAAAAGAGGTAAAGGCTATTTCAGAGTTTTATGACGAGGATGAAGATCGCAGTGTTCAAGCTTCTTTTCATTGTTTTCATTCTTGCTTTTCAACTGGAAAGGCATAAGGCTTTAGCCAGCAAAGCCTCTTCGAATGAGGCGGCTATGAATATTCTGTGGAAATGCCCCCAGAGCAAGTGCTTGGTAAGATTACCTCTCAAGCTTTCCATTAAATACGGTTGGCTCGTACCATCAAACATATTCCAAAGTTTAATTGTATTTCACTTTCGGGTTTTAATACCTTCTTTCTTTTTTGAACAGACGGATGCAGTCGCCTGTCTTGCTGGAGCACAAAACAGCGGTACTGAAAGTTCAGGTGAGGAAAAATAACCTAAAGTATCCCATTCGGTTACGCAGCGAAAAGTCATTACTTTCAAAGCCACACTCTTGGAGAAGAGAGAACGTGAGACAGTTTGGTTTTAACACCAAAGCAAATTTTCAAAAAAAAAAGACACGCAGATATTAAAATTCTTTAGGCACAGCCAAATGCCTATGAACAAACAAATTTTTTTTTTATTGGATTAAGCTTTTTAAAATTTATCTAATCACTTATTATCACATGAAAACGAGACGGCTATTGCAATCCAGTTCACCATGGCATGGATTTTTTAATAAACCAGTAACCTCATTACTTTTACCATACGAGAAATTATACAATTAAATCAATTTTCTTATAAATGTCTGTTACTTTTGATAATTTATAGATCAAACAAAAAAGCTGGAAAATCTAGAGAAAGAGGTGAGGTTACCATGACAGGGCGCTTTTTTAAAATCTGTAATTAAACTAAGTTTAAAATGGAAGGCTACTACCATTTATAGTTTCTTAGCTACAGTAAATTTTTCGTTGGATATTCATTTTGTTGATACAGTTTGTTAAGTTACCCGAGAGAAGGGGAATTTGTTTGGTCAGGGTATTGATGGATTGATTGACTTTGAGTCACGACGCATTCACTAAACAGTGAAGCCGGTTTTATTCCAAAGATTTCGTTCTTGCTTTTCATTACCGAAATCTTTTTTGAGGTAAATTAATTCTTTGCTTTGTAACAAAGTAACGTTGCAAACCACCGCTAGCCGAGATTAACTGTTTTACTGTGAGTAGTGCGACGAGGTTCGCAAGCTAGTAGTAAAATGCCCCTTTTTTGCATTATTAGTCAAAGAGAGACAAGTTTGTTTAGTTCAATCGGTTAGTTTACAGATATTTATTTAGCTGACGCTGTAGGTAAGCTTCAAATCCCCTTCTTCGGTGAAAGTTACTGAATTTTTTTCATTCTGTATTTCGTTCTTGAAATCACTGATTTGCAGGTCGCCAACTTAAAAGCAGAGCTGGCAAAAGCGGGCAAACCTTCTGGCTTCGCCACGCTTGACAGCAATGGCCGCCTGCCCCACAACCTTCTCGCAGCAGGTTATGATAAGTACTCTGCGTACGACTTGGCGTGGCAATCTCTCCACATGGCGGCTGCTGCTGCCTGCAGAGGTAGCACTGCTTCAGGAGGAACTGGTTGCTGTGACAACCAGGTGATGGCAAGAAACACCGCTGACAAGAAGACTTGTGCTCAAATTTGTGCCCAGAGTGCTTACCGCAACTGTGACGCAGAGGTTTCCATATATGGAAAGAAAGGCAAGGCCACAAAGAACGGAATGATCGTGGGCTCGTATTACAATTACGCCTGTGACCATGCAGTCAACGGAGGAAGTGAGGTGTCTAGTTCTGACGAAACTGTCATGAACTACAGTTACCCTTATTTCAGCTTTTGTTGCTGTCGAAAGTAGCATTCGCAACGGTTTTATTACAGGGCGCTTAAATCATTGTAGTGAGGAAATATAGAATAAGAGTCTATCGCCGTTTACTTCTGGTAAAGAGTAAAAGACAAAATAAAAGGTTTCACTTGGGACAAACAGCCCCGTCTGCTTTCTTTGCTCACTTCTACCACATTAACAAAATCCCCCCTCGCACCCACCCACTCACTCATCATAACAAGAGAAAATCAAAATAATAATAATAATAATGATGATGATGATGATGATGATGATGATGATGATGATGATTCGGAGGTGCCACATCCACAAAGTGTTTCTTCGTCTAGCTAATTCCTGGTAGCATTGGAATTTGGAAATGTTGGTTTTTGAGGAAAGGGGAAAATCGGAGTACCGGAGAAAAACCTTTTGGAGCAAAGGAGAGAACCAACAACAAACTCGACCCACATATGGCGTCGACGCCGGGATTTGAACCCGGGCAACATTGGTGGGAGGCGAGCAATCTCACCACTGCGCCATCCCTTGCTCCCCTCTCTTTTAGTTGAAGACGACTGTACTTAAATAAGTACCTTTTTCAGACAGCAGTTTAACAAGCTACCCTTTTTAATTTACCCCGGGGACAGACTTTCTTACAAAAATGAGGGGGGTGTTCGCCCTACCATTAGGGGGACTTGTACTGCTTCGTTCGCGTTGGCCTCAAAAGATCGCCATTAGAACTCTCGCAGGATCTTTGATTCAGGGGCCGTTTTTATACCTCTTGTGGGTTAAGGGTTCAGCCGTGCCCAATATGTGAGTAATTCTGCTACCTTTCACATTTAAGGGTGTTTGTAAACTTTTCCGACGAGCCATCCCCGCTACTATTATATTCCCCGGGTAATTTTTATACTCTCAGGGCTCTGCCTCTGTATTTAGTAATAAGATAATCTCGCATATTACGAGAAAGGGGGAACGGGGGTCGGGGAACGGAAAGCGAGCACGGGTAGTGGAAAAAAGAAAAAAATGGAACAACACAAGGAATGGGTAATGAATTTCGGTTTTTGGTTTCCATTTTTCGTTTTCTCGTTTCCCGTGCCATTTCTAGTAACATTAAGGTCAGAAGGGTGTGGTCGTCATTTGGAAGCGAGCAATTTAAAGTCTTTACAATGTTTCAATATCTCCGTCTCCCTTTGAAACAACTTCCCCTTTCTTGAAAGGAATTGTCGTGAAGCCTGTTGACTAAACAGATTACAAGAGTTGCGTTCAACGTGTACATCAATTAAATGAAGTTATTCATCATAATAAAAGCCATTTCTTTAAAGGAGAAATAAGAAAAATTCATCGTTGACATTGAAGTGATTATTCTAAATGCTGAGTAAGTACTTGACGTGAATGTTTCAGTTGTTTCAGAACTGCGTTCAAATAGTTGTGATGCGTGACTGAATAAAGCAAATTAATTAGAATGGCCATTTCTAAAAAAATGTCAATAAGCTCAATTAAGTTTATTTTCTTTTGTCTAATTTGATGGTGACCTTCGCTTTCACATTCAGCCCTCCAATAGTAAAACACGACTATTGAACAAGTTTCTTTTCTTTGTTTCAAAAGTAAAGAATGACGTTGCAAGGACGGACAACTGACAATAGTTCCTTACTACACAGCATTTCAAACTTTTATATACGAAGATGAAGGTCCCATCTTTGAAGATTGTTTTCGTTGTCCTCGCTCTTGACGCCATCCCACCGAAGCAAGTCGCTTGGGTCAGCAAAGCCTCTTCGACTTCAACAGCTATGAGTATTCTGTCTCGCTGCCCCCAAAGCAAGTGCTTGGTAAGATTCCTTTCCCGCTAAAGTTGGCCGGCTTGAGCCTTGATTTTACAATATTTTAGGTGTTTAATTTTTAGATATTGATTTCTCTTTCTGTTAAAATTAGACGGATGCGATTTCTTGTCTCGCAGGAGCGCAGTACAGCGACACCAATAACTCAGGTGCGAAGATGGAACACGCTATATATGATTTGATATTTTGAACGAAAAAGAGGACATTATGCCCTTTCAACGGTTTTTTATGTTTTAACAGCCAAGCCAGTTTTTTCAAGATGCGAATATTTACATGTTTAACAACTTTGTTCCCGGGATTAACTTAACATGGAATTTCCTCATTTCGGCCTAACTTTAAACATCCAATTGCCTAATAACTTTAAACTCGCAATTTACTAAATACCAGAAAACGGCTTTTTTAATTGAAGGAGAAATGTCGCGGATCACTTCATTCAAAATCTTGTGGACGCGAAATTACCGTATGGCACGAAATGTTTGCGGGAGTTTATTTTTCGGATTGGCGATTTTATATGTTCTGGAACTAATTTTTGCGATTAGGACAGATTGGTTTTTCTTACTGGGAATCAATATTTGCGATTTTCAGAAAGTACCCATGCCAGTACCCAGCATTGATAATATTTTTTTTTTTATTGAGTACGTACAATAGAAATACATATTTTCAAACAATAAACCAGTACCAGTTTCGTTGTATACCGTTTTGTTCTGAATCAGAGACAAGTTGTTATTGAACAGACACGATTTCTTAGCACTGCATTTTTGTGTAGCGAATTTAAGTTAGAGAATATTCACTCTGGAGTACACTTTTTGTGGAAAAAATGTTAGCAGTAATTTTTATTTGCGGGAACGTGTTTTTGCGGATCGCTGGAAAAATCGCAAAAATTAGAACCCGCAAAAATTTCGTGCCATCGGCACGGTAGTCACTTAACATATAAATTATTTTCTAAGTCGTATTTGTTTATTTGATTTTAGATCAGGCAAAAAAATTGGAAAAACTAGAGAAAGAGGTCAGTTTCTATTTCCAATCGACGGGTAAATATAGAATTCATGAAGTAATAGTTATATTTTTGGTAAATTCTTATAGTTGTCTGTGTACAGTAGAAATTAACTTGTCGTGTTGTTGTCGTACAGTACTGTATAGGAAAATACAGTCGACTCCCGATAACTCGAACCCTCGCTAACTAGAACCTCGCGCCTACTCGAACCAAAATCGATTTCCGCTGGACTTCCGTCATACATTCACTGTAGTTTTACCCTTGGTAACTCGAACCCTTGATAACACGAACTCCCGCTAACTCGAACCAATTTTCGTTTCCTCTCAGGTCATTTTCTATATAATTTTACCCTCGATAACTCGAACCATGTTTTGAGCCCTTAAAAAGTCGGGAAAAAAGCCGTCTACTGGCGTTCGAAACATTGAATTTTGGACTTCCTACTGACGTGTTGTAGGAGTATAGTTTACTTATGGAGGCTGATGTTGATTGTCACAGGCTAACGTTAAGCAGCTTTTCTTCTTAAAACAGTAAAACGCATGCTCTATTTAGGCTATCTTTTGTTTACGTTACGTTCTGATTTATAATCTAGAAGTATCTTTTAATTTTCGCTCTCGTTTTCACTTGACATTTCTTCAATTAGATGTGATTAAGATGTTCACTGTGCGGTAAAAACTGTTTTTTACCCTACTCTCGGCTATTTTCTTCGAACTCCCGATAACGATAACTCGAACCTTTTTTCGATTTCCCTTGAAGGTTCGAGTTATCGGGAGTCGACTGTACAGTCGACTCCCGATAACTCGAACTCGACTCCCGATAACTCGAATTCGCCTCGAGTTATTTTTAACACCACAGATGTCAAGGGGGATTAGACAAGAGCCAATCACATAGCGCGAATGTGTTCCGCGTGGATGAACCACGCTCAGAGCCACGCGTCCTTCACGAATTGACGCTAAAAAAAATGGCGGAAGACGCGGAGAGCGATATTGCTATTCGTTTTGTCGACGAAAACGACTAAAGAGAGATTTCTGCTAAAGCTGTGTCAGCGAAACAGAAATTAAAAAAGAATCGCCCTTCCCCTCTTGTATAGAGCTAACAGTACAGCAGGGAAATCCTTAACACACTGAATATTTTCTCAGGATCATTTATAATTTACAGTTTGAAGAGAGCAATTTCTGGTTTGATATTTATTCTTTTATTATCTTTTATTATTCAACAAAACAACACTTGGCGTCCTACTTGCTTTATTGTACAAACGACCGGTTTCAATAGACCGGCGAAATTTCTCATTTTATTAAAGCACTGAGGTTACGACAACTTCGAGTTAAACTGATTTCACGGGTTGTCCAAGAGTCCAGCGATTCCCTTTTCCCAGGTGAGCGCCGACTCATTTCGCTTCAATATTCAGAAATGCTCTCGATCTCTTTACGCTTTCATTGCCTTTCGCCCGACATGTTTTGCACGGCGTTTAGTCATGCGAAACCTCCACGAAACATCCACGCTGCACGCGAGATAGCTTTTTGATCCCGATTCTAAAAATAACTAGAGACGAATTACCTATGGAATAGGGTGTGTATGGGGGATGCCTTCTCTGCCCCCTATATCCTCTCTTGTCCATGTAAGTTACTGATTTTAATTTTTTAATTTTTTGGCGTTCGTTTAAGCCGTAATAGACGTATGAGAACATTATAATAAGCATCAAGCCTTACTCAACCCAACAGCAGATTTTTTGCCCCATTTGTTTCTTTTATGGATAAAGACTTAATTTTACTGAACTAAAAATTCTTAATGAACTTGAAAAAGAAAGATTGTCTACGTCCGCCACATCAGCATTTCTCACTACTTTATCTAACATTTAATTAAGAGATAGTCAGTTAAATTGTGTCAACATATGATCCACTCAACCAATGGCTCTTTGGGCTACGTATAAGACTCCTTTTTGAAAATTAGTAGTCGTATATATTTAGCTGAAAAGTTCAAAATAAAATCAAGTAAGCATCAAGTCTTTCACTCGTCACTTTCAGGTCGCAGACTTAAAAGCAAAACTGGCAAAAGCAGGTAAACCTTCTGGCTTCGCCATGCTCGACAGCAATGGCCGCCTGTCCCACAACCTTCTTAACGCAGGTTATGATAAGTACTCTGCCCACGACTTGGCGTGGCAGTCTCTTCACATGGCGGCTGCTGCTGCCTGCAGAGGTAGCACTGCTTCAGGAGGAACTGGTTGCTGCGGAAACACGGTGATGGCAAGAAACACCGCTGACAGGAAGAGTTGTGCTCAGATTTGCGCCCAGACTGCTTACCGCAACTGTGACGCAGAGGTTTCAATCTACGGCAAGAAAGGCAAGGCCACAAAGAACGGAATGGTCGTGGGCGAGTTTTACAATTACGGCTGTAACCAAGCAGCCAGTGGAGGGAGTGAGGTGTCCAGTTCTGACGATTCTGTCAGAACCAGTGGTTACTACAGTTTCTGTTGCTGTCGAAAGTAGCATCCGCAACAGTTTTGTTACCACGTTGATTAAAATCATTGTAGTAAAAGAGGTATAGAACAACAATGTATCGCCATGATTTGTGGTAATGATTGAAGCGCAAAATAAAAGCTTAACTTGGGGTAAACAACTGTGTCTGCACCCCTCTCCCCAACTGCCCACCCCAAAACAATGCATTTCAGAGCGGATTGAATCGGCACCTATAAAACCTTGAACGTGTACTCAGCTTTCTGTTTTTCGAGATGAGTCTTTCAAAATTTTCTTCGATTTAAAAAGGAAGGAATGTCCTTTACTATTTTTGTGAATCAAAATATCTTGACTAGAGCTTATAGACTACTTTCTAGACCCTGTGCATTGACGAGGTCTCTATAACGTACGTAGCTAATATATAGGAATAGAAACGAGAAGCAGTTCAACTCTCTTTTTGCTCTCTCTCAATCTCTAACTCGGCTAAGGCTGTGTCACCATTACACGGTTAGACCTTCAGTTTTTGGTCAGAGATCCCCTCTGGGGAATACCTTCAGCTTACCCGGACTAATTTTTTGCTTGCAGAGTGAAAAAGGTGGTCGGTGGGCAACACACCACTTTTACCTCGTGCCAAAACACTGCTTCTTCTGGAGGGTTCTACGTTTTGACTGAACAAATGTGATTTTTGCCGCTTCGGTTTCATACTGAGCTAATAAATTGCCAAAGAGCAGAATATAAAGACGCTACAGGACGGACATTTGGGGGTATTCTAGTTCCCCTTATAAAACCACATTTTCAACAATGTTGTGGCGATGTATCAAAGGCTTTGTAATCAGTCACGTGATTTCTAAGTGCTCGTGGTTCCATTTGTTGAGTGTTAGTATAATAACTCAGGGCCCAGTTGATCGAAAGCGGGTTACATAATCCTAATGTCTGGTTAACTTTTAATCGCTGGTTACTTCCGTAATTTAAAGAACAGTTACCGCTGACCTCGTCTTAAAACGTAATCTGAGAAAGTTTCCTCTTAAGGAACATGTACATAACATACTTTCGCCCTCAAAATTATTTTAAAAAATTATCACTTCTTTATCAATTTGTCACTTAGTTGGTCCTGTTGCATAGTTGTTGTTGTCATGATAGAACTAAAACGCTTCTGTTTAAGACGTTTTAAGGTGACCAATCAGAAGCGTACCTGTTAGATACCAACCACGTTCCCAGGGCCCTCTCCTACTAGTCCCCCAGCTAGCGAGATAGTGAGAGGGACGAGTACGGTACACGAGGACCATGGAATCGAGTTCAACTAGATGCGCGCAGTAACGTGCAGTTGGATTTCGACAGACCATTTGCAATCAGCTTCTGTCCGGCAGTGAATAGTCTGCAAAGAGTGTAACCTTTTGACGGCAAGGGGTGACGTCGATTACAAAAGAGGGTGACAACAAACGGGCAAAGTGCAAAAATATTAAAAAAATAAAACCAGCTGAAATGTCCCCACAAACTTAAAAGTAACTCAAGTCATCATCAAGTGGTCCAAAACGGTTAGATTATCAGTCAAGGGTACCCGGAAAACCAACACTTAATGCCAACATAAACTAAATCCCCTCACGTTTCACTCTACTCACACCCAGTCTGACTTACACTGTAACAGAAGGTTTCCAGAGTTTGTACAACCTACTTTTGTCGAAACGCCAATAGCCTTCTGATCAATGATATTTGCGTAACCTTTCGACGCAAAAAAAAGTGACAGCAAAGCCTGGTCTACAATAGGACAACCCAGAAATAAATTGGAACTGTTATTTTTAAACAAAAGTCAATACATTGACCCCAGTAAGTTTACTTATTCATTTGATCTGATGAGACCAGACCTTTGCTGTCACTTTTAACACCACTGTCTTACAACACGATAATCGACAAGTTAATTATCATTTTTAAATTGTTCCAACAACGTTAACTGGCGTTTTCCCTGATAGATTTCCTTAAATTCGTCGTAGTGGGGAAGTATAGAATAACAGTGTATCGCCTTGTACTTCTGGTAATGATTGAAAAACAAAATAAAAGCTTTTTTAAATAAACTTGGTATAAACAACCGTGTCTGCTCTCTTTGTCCACTTGTACATTATTCAAAATATCCTTCTCGCCACCAAGAATAAAAATTGACTCATCAGCAATGGCAAAAGAAAAGCAGTGGGCCACTCATCTTTTTAATTTTTTCACCCGGGGACACTTTCTTACGTACAGAAATGATGGTGTTGCCCGCCCTACCTTTTAGAGGATTGATACCGCTATCGGCGCGTTAATCTAAAAAGACTGGTATAACAGCTCTCAATAGAATTTTAGGGGCATTTTTGACAACTCTTGAGGGTTAGGAGTTTAGCTAAGCCCATAACTGAATTCTGCTACCTTGTCAGAGTGTTGATATTTGTTATTACTATTATTTTGTTTTTCCGACGAGCTACTTTTATAGAGAAGTATTCCCCGGGTAATTTGCATAATTTCAGCCCTCCGCCTTTAAAATGTAAATTGTCTAACATAATGAGATCACCTTGGATGTTACTAAAACAAGGAACGCGGAACGGGAATCGCGGAACGTGCATGGGGAAACAGAAAGGTGAAGGGGAAACAACACAGAGAATGGGTAATGAAGTTACTGATAGGGCTAAGGTTGGCTCCCATTTTTCATTTTCCCATTTCCGTGTTCGTTCTCTGTTCCTTATTCCTTGTTTTAGTAGCATCCTAGCCTACGGACACAGACGTATTTCCGGTCGTCGCTTCTCTCCACCCGGGTGGAGAGAAGCGACGACCGGAAATGCGTCTGTGTCCGCAGGCTAGTACCATCCATGTCACTTGCTGAGTTTCAGAAAGGTTCTTTCGGCATTTGATAAAGCTATAAACTTAAAGTCTGTGTAATCATTTTCCGTTTCTGGACTCAATAGATTATCATGAATTTCAGTTGTTTACTACCAATTAGCTAACTCGCTAGTTCATTAGTACAATGCGCCTTTTGGCAATTCCCTAATTTATCTCAAACGAAACCTGCCAACATTTTCCGAGTCAAATGCGCCAGATTTTCATCTTGTCATGACTGGACTTTCCGAAAACATCTCTGCGACTTCCGAATATTTCCGACGATTTTCTGAAGACTTCCGATGTACGAAGATATTCCGAAGGCTTTTGAGCACTTCCGAAGCTATTAAAAAGACAACAATTTTTGTGTTATGTAATATACAGTTAGGATACCAGGTCAACACTAAGCACGTTTTTGGAACATTTTCGGTGAAATTAAATTGAATTTTCGTTATGATCATGTGCTAAAAAAGAATTCGTCCGGATTTGTGGGTCAGGCGAGAGAAACTGTCGTTGACGCGTGAGATTGTTGTCTTAAGACCACGGGCGTGAGACTCACGCATAATGCGTGAGAGTTGGCAGGTTTTGTATTCGATCTTTCAAATCAGTATTCGCTGATTTTAATCTGTCAAGCGGCGTTCGTGTATTTCCGGGTCGTTTAAGAATTAAAACGTTTGTTATTGCTTTAAAAGCTTCGGAAATCTTCGCGTCGTTGTTTAGCAATCTAGCCAAGAATCCTGTCAGCTATGAAGCAGATATCATTTGACAATGATTAGAGGTAAATTAAATTTCATAGCTAGGGGTAGGATCCCTAGAGTGCCGTTCGGGATTGTCCCGGGGTATTTCAGGGGTGGAACCCTCGCGCGTGTGATTGAGGTAAATTATTGTCCGGTGTAAAGGGAGTTGAATGCAATAGCAAATTATTTTCAAAATTTCAAGAGTTGTGGGTGAACGTGACCAAACTAGACTCATCAATCATTCATAATTCATCACTCAAAATCATAATAAGAGGAAATTTTTTGTCACAAAAAAACAGAGAAAAATTCATTTTTAGCATTAAAGCGATCAGTCTAAATGCTGAGTATCTGATGTGTTTGTTTCAGAAAATGCGCACAAATAATCATCCGCTGCGTGACCGAAGCAAATAATAGATTAGCATGGCTATTTCTGAAATAATGTCAAATGGAGTAAAGTGAGTTTACTTAATGTTTCTTTGCGGTCTAATATGATCGTGACCTTCGCTGTCACATAAACACGATTATCGAACAAGTTTCTTTTCTTTGTTTCAAAAGTAAAGAATGACGTTGCAAGGACGGATAAAATGCAGTAGTTCCTTACAACGCAACATTTCCAACGTAACTTTGATAAACGAAGATGAAGGTCGCATCGTTCAAGATTGTTTTCATTATCCTGGCTCTTAATGCCTTCCCATCGAAGCAAGTCGCTTTGGGAAGCAAAGCCTCTTCGACCTCGGCAGCTATGAGTATTCTGTCGCGCTGCCCCCAAAGCAAGTGCTTGGTAAGATTCCTTCCCCGCTAAAGTTGGCCGGCTTGAGTCTTAATGTTATAATATTTTAGGGTCTGAGATATTGCTTTCTCTTTCTTATAAAATTAGACGGATGCAGTTTCTTGCCTTGCCGGAGCGCAGTACAGCAACGCCAATAACTCAGGTGTGAAGAGGGAATACGCTATTGTTTACTATTTTGAAAGGAAAAGTCATGATTCTTCTTCAAGCTTCTTAAGTTTCAAAAGCAAAGCGGTCAATATTTCAAGATACGAATAAATGAAAACAAGAGCCATAATGGCTCTTGATGAAAACTTTGTTCCGTCTGAAATTAATTAAACGTAACGTAATCTGTTTTTTTCTACCCAACTATAAAATTGTTTTACGACTCTAAACTCGCAATTTTAATACTAAATTACTAAAAACAGCTTTTTATTGAAGGAGAGATGTGGCGGATAACTACTTCATTAATTCAAACTTTTATCTGACAATTAATCACTGATTATATTATTTTCCTATTTGGTATCTTAGATCAGGCGAAAAAAGTGGAAAAACTAGAGAAAGAGGTGAGTTTCTATTTCTCAAAGACGCTTAGCTCTAGAAAAAAGTGCAAAAAAAGGAAGGTTTTTCTTCATGTCATTTAACATTCTAAAAGATTCTTTTTTTCATCCGATGTTCACCAACATCGATCGGTGGTTTAATTGGTTATGTTTAAAGAGAGTGAATTTATCTTATTTACTGGCGTTTGTTTAAGTCCAAATATATTGATGTATATTCTGATCCCAACAACATATTTCCACGTCACATCTTGCGGGGGCTTAGTGATCACAGGAGACTGCCTTTAAGAGTGAATTAGTTTTTATTATAGATTTAATGGTCGTGTTTAACAGCTGGAGAGTTCAAAAGAGTGTCAAATAATCATTATTATATTTCTTATTCTTCTTTTCATTGTCTTTTTATTTATTTATTTATCTCTTTATTGCGGGCAACAAGAGAAGCCCAAAGTCGTAATCGCCAGGTTTTTATCACGCATTCGTCGCATGTATGAAGCAAGCATTAGTTTGAACTTCCACTAAGAATGTACAGAATGCACGGAACGCAATTTCATGACTCACGTTTAGACCTTCTATCACCCGCAATATGATCACGCGTGTTTCGACCATCTATCACGGAAAACTTGACTTTTGCAAAGCACAGCGTTAGAGCAAAAGCGTTTTGACCTTCGATTGTTGTCCTCGCAATTAGTAACCTTTGGTTATTACTAGTTTACTTATTTTTTTTTTAACTCTCCCAAAGGTCGCCAACTTAAAAGCAGAGCTGGCAAAAGCAGGCAAACCTTCTGGCTTCGCTATGCTTGACAGCAATGGTCGCCTCCCCCACAGCCTTCTTGACGCAGGTTATGATAAGTACTCTGCGTACGACTTGGCGTGGCAGTCTCTCCACATGGCGGCTGCTGCTGCCTGCAGAGGTAGCACAGCTTCAGGAGGATCTGGTTCCTGGGATAACCAAGTGATGACCAGAAACACCGCTGACAAGAAGACTTGTGCTTGGATTTGTGCCCAGACTGCTTTCCGCAACTGTCACGCAGAGGTTTCTATATATGGAAAGAAGGGCAAGGCCACGCAGAACGGAATGACCGTGAGCTGGTTTTACAACTACGGCTGTAACTATGCAGCCAATGGAGGAAGTGAGGCGTCTAGTTCTGACGAAACTGTCTGGAACAAAGGTTACAGTTATTTCAGCTTCTGTTGCTGTCGAAAGTAAAATCCAGAACAGTTTTTGTTACCAGGGCGATTAAAATCATTGTAGTAGGGACGTAGAGAATAACTATGTATATCGCCACTTATTTCTGGTAATGATTGAAGCGCAAAATAAAAGCTGTAACTTGAGATATACAACTGTTTCTCCTGTATTTGTCGTACTGCATTAACCCCCAACCCCACCCCTTTCCTCAAGGGAGAGGGAGATGAATTGGAGGTAGAAACCTTGAAAGTGAGCTCTAAGTGTTCAGTCAGGCTACTAAACATCTCTTGGATTCTTAAAAAAAAATGGAAAGTTATTTACCTTTTTTTTTAATCAAAATACCTTGGCTAGAGCTTATACAGACAAGATTCTTAAGACCCTATGCATTCACAAATAAACCTCTGTGATTCGCTCGAGACCTCCTCGACAGATAAAAAGGAGGAGGAGGAGGAGTATTTCTCTCTCTGTCATTTCCAAAGCACTCGTCTTAGGCTATGACTACACTATACCTGAAAGCTCTTGCGCCGACGCGAAAACCATACCGGATAGGGCTCTTGTTAACACACAGGAACGGTGATTTTAGTGCAGTTTCTTTAACGAAGCGAAGCTGCGCCGCGTCGCTCTTGACTCGGGCGCTGAAAGTGGATACTAGGCCTGGATATTTTTCATGTTGACATGTCATTTTTAGCCTAAAGCAATTTGCAGGGGTAATGGTGTGTTCATGTTGATCACGTGAAAAAAGTGGTGGCATCACATGATTGGTGGAATTACGTTGTCATCTCGACAATTCCATGATCTTAAGTCGGTAGCCATGAAGCTATAAAATTGCCAGACATCTTTCAAAAGCAATCAAGTCATCAACAGTAAGATAACAGCGGTTTTAAAAAATGCTCTGGATATGTAATGGTTGGGCCCCAAAAACCATTGATTAGATGAAATCCTCTATTTTAAATGTACAACACTACAAGAAGGAAAAGTAGCTTTCAACGTTAGTAGTTCTTCCTTAAAAGCTTGCTTATCCAAAAACAAGGAATATTATGAAAACTTACAAAAGTAGGTCTTAACAACAAGTGCAGTGATATATTTAATAGCTAAACCAACGAAATAAAATGAATATTGATCATTACATGCTTTTCAACAAAGAACGTCAGGTTTCCGCGAAATCATTCTTCATTCGATTCATTTTAATAAAGTCTTTCGGTAGAACGTTTTCTGATGAATTACCCCCAAATAGTGGGCAAATTTGAAGAGATAAATTATTTAAAGGATCAACGTCACTGACATTAGCTTTGAAAAGAGGTCTTTGTTACAGAATGGGTGCGGTTACACTAAACCTTTTCCCTGGATAGGAAAGCGAGCTTCTGCTCACTCTAAACTTTGATCTCATTTTATACTTGCATTAAAACTGCCAAGGGGAGGAACATTATCACTCAATTACGTCATAAACGTCCCCGTAAAAATAAAAAACTGACGTAAGTCGTACAGTTTTGGGGCATTCTTATTCTTTTGATAAAACCACCATTTCCAGCATTGTTGTGAAAAGTTATTAAAGGCGTCGACTTCAGTCACGTGATTTCTAAGTGTTGGCGCGTTTACATTTCAACGCCTCCAGGGGTTACCTCTAAGGGTAAGCTAAGCAGTCATAAGACAAGAATCCTGCGAGGGGACTCCTACACATCCTCCCTTGCAACTGTATTCGACACAATCAAGGTTTTTCATTAAACCTTCAAATGTGTCCTACGTTATTCCTCTTTGACAAGATTTTAGGCCCATTTTACGGCCCATACTTTACAGTAAAGGTTAAGCCCTTTCAGTGGACTGTATAAATATCACATTGGGTATCCCGCCTAATTCGTTCATGTTTTTGTCGTTTTAGGAAACCGGCGGTAAGTACATCCATTTCGGAACTTGACTACTACAGCGGAGGGAAGAAAAGCGCGCGCAAGACACATGACGTCACAATGGACTTGATCATTTGAGAGCGCAACGTTTTTTCATTCCTTTCTTCGGTTGGTACAGAGAACAACTAAAGACTTAATGACAGCATCCGAACACACAAAGACTCCTAACCATTTTGTTAAGAAGCATTTTACATGTGGAAATCACGGTAACATGGCCGCATTTAATTGGGCGGATTAATGTTTCGAAAAATCCGATGAGGGATTGATTCCTTAGCGTACCAACGCCAAGTGGGAGACGGCAGAAATGTGGTGGATATAGTTTTTTCCCCTTTTTTATAAGAAGATCCGCTTTCAGTAAATATCTGAGACATTTATATCTGATGTAACGAATCCATCCGGAGTATCAATTACTTAAATTCACTGTGCATTCTCCAAATTTCTTAAAAAGACGAAAAATCCGTTTTAAACTCACTAAGACGCCGGATTTTGATTCACAAACAAGCACATCCTTACCATAATACACGACCTACAAGCCTTTTTTAAAATGTACCAACCAGCTACTGACATGGTACCGACACGTTATCGACTGGCAACCGGCAAGCTACCGATAACTTACCGACAAGTAAACGACAGAACACAAAATTGTTCCTTTCATTTTCAGTCAATATTCAGCCTGGCTATGGATTCAGAACGCCAGTTCCCAGAATACACAGCGAGGAAATGGAGTGTTATGAGCAGCATGTGTATTACTACGAAACCTCTTTTTATTACATAAAAGGCAAACTAAGAGGCCATTACGTGACGTTAAAGAGATGCAGGTGGAAAGAGAAGGACGAAGTTCAACAAGAGCAATTCTCAAAGTCTCTGTGCTAAGGTAAAATTCAGCCTGATTTAGCATCGTTACGTACTTCGCTGCGGAGATCACAGACGGCTCTTACTAATGTATCCCGAACCAGGCCCACCCGTACTTCGTGACCTTTTTATAATTACTACAAATAGTATCAATATTTTTAATGGCTTGGTATTGGCTTCGCTGGGTTTCATAGTACAACTGTTACTCACTCCGAAAACTCATAGCATGTACAACAGTCGTTTTCTAGCTGCGAATAACCGTTACACGCGAGGCGCGAGACGGATTAATTTTATTGTTTTGAACGCCCGCGTAGCACTCGTCAAATTAAAGGTTCCCTCCTTCGATCATTCCTTTGTTGCTATCCAAAGCAATTTTTATGTACAGAACCTTTCTTTTCAGGAAAATTAATCTCAACAGGTTTATTATAATGTCCCGAGGACTGGAAGGACGCATCTTTCTTTTTTTCTTTTTCAGCGACTTGCGGCATCCAAGTATCCTCCTGTTTATGGCCGTATACTAGTACAGGTCCTTTAAAATGGGGACTTGTGCTAGAGCCCGCGGAACGTCGCTTCTTAAGAAAGGTCCTTCTTGATGACAAGACTGTGTTTGATGAGGACACTGTTCTGCGTTTCAGCCGAGATGTGGCATGCGCAAGGCAGTTTGTTCATCAGGGAGGTTATCATCACTGCAATCTGGGATCACCTCGTGTGGTATTAACTGAGAACTTTAAAGCAAAGGTTCGTTTTATAGATTACTCATTGTCTGCGGGTTAAGCCATCGCTTCTGCAAATAATTTCGGACTGGATATGTGACCCCTTGGAGTTCAAGTCCTTGGAATTTGTCCTGGGTAGATGGCTCACACGCCTGCCCATGAACTACGCTGGGCGAACCAACTTTTCCTTATAAAACTTGGCGAATCATTTTCATGTGAAACAAAACGTTGGCTCGGCTAGAGCCAGCTAAGGTAGCCGTGTCACCCTTTTTTGAAAGTAGGGTCCCCTTCCAAGCCTGGCCAACTTTTCTCCACATAAACTTTTTGGCTCACCCAGCCAGGTCAACTCGATCAAAGCGACACAATTAGAGCATGCGCGAGCGCTTTTGGCACGCGAAAGGGGTCAACTTTTTTTCTCATATAAGCACTCGCTTACTTTTACTCGGCTGGGAGAATGACCGTCTTTCCCGAAACACGTTTTCTCCATATAAACGAGGACTTAACTATATTTTCTGGTCATGTATTAACTACATGACTTGCAATAATTTTAAGGCGATTTTTTTAGTGTAAACTGTTTCTCTAGAAGGCTATTTCTTTTGAATTACACGTAAAAAAACCACAGCTTCAACTTAAATCTCACCAGATTTGCAACTTTGAATTTGCACAACAAGTAGGTTATGATCAGAGTAGAAGTAACGAAAATGTTCATTAAAAAATAATAGATAAATCAGGAACAAAAGTGCCGTGTTTGGGTTGAAGTTATCCTTTCCAAACGTTTCGGGCCTGGCCCTTCATCAGTGGAATTACCAGTTCGTCGAAACCGTTGCAAGGTTTATATATGCCATAAATTAGAAATAAAAATTAAAGGCGTTGTAGTGCACGCGCGGCCTAGAGGAAACGGAAGTCGGAGTTTAAACCGCGTGGCTGACTGGTGCCAAGTTGAATCTCAGTCGCATTTCCGGGCGCTTCCGTTGCGCGTTATTAACAGAGAGCATCATTCCTCGAACCAAAGCGTCGTCGATTGGCTGACCAGCCGTGTTAAAACGTTCAGCCACAGGCAACCCCGGCAAGTTCTTTTCAATGCTCCGAAGGTGTTCGCCAAAAGGTTGTCTTAAAGTACGCCCTGTTTCGCCGATATAGACGACAGGCTAACGGCGACAGGAGATGCAGTAGACCAAGCCAGACGTTTGGCAAGAGAACGCCTTCTTGATGACAAAAGAGTATTGAGGGCCACAGACACTAGTGTCGCTAGAAATGAAATGGTAAGTGCGGCAGAGTAGTCTGCGTACGACTTGGCATGGCAGTCTCTCCACATGCGGCTGCTGCTGCCTGCAGGGGTAGCACTGCTTCAGGAGGAACTGGTTGCTGTGACAACCAAGTGATGACAAGAAAAAAGGCTGACAGGAAGAGTTAGGCTCAGATTTGTGCCCAGACTACTTCCTGCAACTGTGCCGCAGAGGTTTCTATATATGGAAAAAAAGGCAAGGCTACAAAGAACGGAATGATTGTGGGCGCGTTTTACAATTACGCTTGTAACCATGGAGCCAACGCAGGCAGTGAGGTGTTCCGTTCTGACTAAACTGTCATGAACCTACAGTTATCTTTATTTCAGCTTCTGTTGCTGTCGAAAGTAGCATCTGCAACGTTTTTTATTACAGGGCGATTAAATCATTGTAGTGGGGAAACACAGAAAAACAATCTATCGCCGTTTACTTCTGGTAATGATTAAAAGACAAAATAAAAGGTTTCACTTGGGACAAACAGCCGCGTCTGCTTTCTTTGCCCACTTCTACCATATTAAAATAACCCCCTCCCACCCACTGGTCATAACAAGGGAACATCAAGATAATCCGCATAAGACTGTTTTAGTTGAAAGTATCTTTTCCAGAGAGCAGTTTAACAAGCTACTCTTTTATAATTTACCCCAAGGACTGACTTTCGTACAAAAATGAAGTGGTTTTTCGCCCTACCATTTAGGGGACTCGTACCGCTTCGTTCGCGTTGGCCTCAAAAGATCGCCATTAGAGCTCTCGGATGGGGGTTAGGGGTTCAGTCGCGCCCAAAACGTGAGTAATTCTGCTACCTTTCACATTTAAGGGTGTTTGTAAACTTTTCCGACGAGCATCGCCGCTACTATTATATTCCCCGAGTAATTTTTACTCGTTTCACTGCTCTGCCTTTTCAAAGCAAATTGTATTATTTATTTAGTTAAATAAGCTCGGATCTTTCGAGGAAGGAGGCCACCGGGGACAGGGAACGGGAAGCGAGCACGGGTCGTGGAAAAAGGAACAAAAAAGGAACAACACAGGGAATGGGTGATGAATTTCGGTTTTGTTCCCATTTTATCATTTTCATTAGTAACATCTTGGTCAGAAGGGTGTCACGAGTGCCAAAGCGTTGCTGTATTTGTTTTTAAGATTAGTGTTACGTAATGTGGCGATGTGAATATTTAAGTAGGCTATATAAGTTACGTCTTGATTTATTAAATTGAGAATATCTCCCTCATGTAGCGGTCTCTCACAAGTGTTTCAAAGGGTTGTTCTCGGCATTTTATAAAGCGAGCAATTTAAAGTCCTTAAAATGTTTTAACATCTCCGTATCCCTTTGTAATAACTTCTCCTTTCTTGAAACGAATTTTCCTGAAGCCTGTTGGCTCGACACATTAGCATCAATTAGTTAACTCGCTATTTAAGCAGAGCAGTACAATGCGTTTTTTTTTTGGCAGTTCTCAAAGTTACCCCAAAGCAAGTTGTCTTGCAGTCGATCGTTGAAATCAATTTAGTTCTGTGAGTTTAATCCTCGCTAATATCATTCCGGTCAAGCCATTTTCTGTACCTGTATCCTTTGTCGCCTATTTCCAGGTCGTCTGTGAATTAAGATCTTCGATACTGTTTTAAAAGCTCAGTCGCAAATCTTCGCCTCGTAGCTACGTCGTTGTCAAGATTTCAAGTAATGAACACTGTCTGTCATGCCATTCGGAAGATAGTACTCGACGAAGAGGTAAAATATTTCTAGTTCAAAATCAGGGGCAGGTTTATCTGAGTGTTTGGGATTGTCCTGGGTTGTCTCATGGATGGCCGGGGTCTTTTTAAGGCACCAGCGCCAGCAGTGCGCGTGATTGAGGAAAGTAAACTTATTAAGTAGTGTTTTCAAAATTTCAAGAGTTACGATCAAACTTGTCGATTAAATTAACTACATGTACATCAATTGTATTAAGTTATTCATCATAATAAAAGCCATTTTTCATAAAGGCGAAATAAGAAAAATTCGTTGTTAACATTGAAGTGATTCTGAATGTTGAATAAGTATTGTGTTTTAGTTTTTTTCAGAACTGCGTACAAATAATTATCCGATGGGTGACAGTGAATAAAGCAAATTAATTAGAATGGCTATTTGTGAAAAAAAAACCTAAGTAGACTCAATAAATTTACTTCTTTCTTTTGTCTAATATGATCGAGACCTTCGCTTTCACATTCAGCCCTCCAGTAGTAGAACACGATTATCGGACAAGTTTCTTTCCTTTGTTTTAAAAGTAAAGAATGACGTTGCCGGGAAGGATAACAGACAAAAGTTCCTTACAACGCAGCATTTGAAACTGTTATAAACGAAGATGAAGGTCGCATCGTTCAAGATTGTTTTCATTACCCTGGCTCTTAATGCCTTCCTACCAAAGCAGGTCGCTTTGGGCAGAAAAGCCTCTTCGACTTCAGAAGCAATGAGTATTCTGTCGCGCTGTCCCCAAAGCAAGTGCTTGGTAACTGTCTCCGCCGCTAAAAAAGCCCAGCTTGAGCCTTGAAGTTACAATACTGCATTTTAACCTTATCTTAGTCCTTTCCCTGTCAAAAATTACTGAGATATTGCTTTCTCTTTGTAAAATAGACGGATGCAGTTTCTTGTCTTGCCGGAGCGCAGTACAGCGTTTCACATAATTCAGGTATGAACTTCAAGTTACTTAGAATGGAGAAAAAGTGATTGCCCCTCGCTGATGAGAGTAGTTGTGTTTCAACTACAAAGGCATTTTTTTTCCTCATCAAACTAATACTGATATTAACTTTGATCCCTCTGAAATTAACGTAACGCACAATTTAATTATTTGGACTTAATTGCTGTCTAAGAATAACTACTAAAAATCGCGAAAACAACTTTATTGAAAAGAGAGATGTCACGGATCACTAGTCATAAATTCAAAATCTTGTGGACCAGAAATTAGTCACGTATCACTAAAAACATATATATTATTTTTTTAACGCTTATCTGTTTCTTTTGTTGTAGATCACACAAAAAAAAGTGGAAAAAATAGAGAAAGAGGTGAGCTTCTATTTTCAAATTGACGACGCTTAATTCTGGAATTCGCGCATAATTAAAAAAAAATCAAGAGAAAGAGCTTTTTTCATGTCATTTAATATTCGTTACTGTACTCTCCTTTTCGATCCTTTACAAAAGATTCTTTGCAGCTTGTTTTTCCTCAGATGTAATTGTTGGTTCAATATGCAGTGAATAAACAGAGAAATGGTTTACCACTTTTTTTTGCTGATTTAGTTTGTTTGGCCTCGTAGTTGACGTTTATATTAAAGCCGACCAATAAACATCAAGTCCTACTCATCGTAATTGGAGATTTCTACCTCATTTTGCTATATAAAGCCTAAATTTCAACTAAAAACTCTTAATAAGCTTAAGTTAGTCTACGTCCCGTAATCAGCATTAGCCGATACTAGCTAGTCCCTTTTAGATAACACTACCGATCTATTTACTTTGCTTTGTAAAGTTATTCATGTGCATAATGGAGAATAAGAATACTTTCAAAAATTTCAATCATATTTTTTCAGGAAAAGTAAGCCTTTGTTTTGTACCAAAATAAGGTTACAAACCACTTAGTTGGCATTGTACACTTTCCCTTTTATACAAAGTGTAGGCAATAAAATCACTTCTTCTGCTATCAAAGAGAGAAAGTGAGTTTGTTTAAAAGCACGTAAGCAACAAGTCAACGCATTCCTTTCATTTTGTTCTGTTTTTCGTTCTTGGAATCTTTTCAGGTCGCTAACTTAAAAGCAGAACTCGGAAAAGCGGGCAAACCTTCTGGCTTCGCCAAGCTCGATAGCAATGGCCGCTTGCCCCACAACCTTCTTGTAGCAGGTTATGATAAGTACTCTGCGTAGGACTTGGCGTGGCAGTCTCTCCACATGGCGGCTGCTGCTGCCTGCAGAGGAAGTACATCTTCAGGAGGAACTGGTTGCTGTGGGAACCAAGTGATGACAAGAAACAACGCTGAGAGGAAGACTTGTGCTCAGATTTGTGCCCAAACTGTTTTCCGCAACTGTGACGCAGAGGTTTCAATCTACGGCAAAAAGGGCAAGGCCACAAAGAATGGAATGATCGTGGGCGCATTTTACAATTACGGCTGTAACCATGGAGCCAACGGAGGCAGTGAGGTGTCCAGTTCTGACGAAACTATCATGAACCCCAATCACACTTATTTCAGCTTCTGTTGCTGTCGAAAGTAGCATCCAGAACAGTTTTATTACCAGGGCGATTAAAATCATTGTAGTAGGAAAGCAGAGAATAACTATGTATCGCCATTTATTTCTGGTAATAATTGAAACGCAAAATAAAAGCTGTAACTTCGGATATACAACCGCCTCTGCTGTATTTGTCCACTTGTACTGCATTAACCCTCCACCCCACCCCTGTCCTCAAAGGAGAGCCAGAATATTTTTCATGTTGACATGTCAGTTTCAACCTTAAATAATTTTCAGGGGTAATGGTGTGTTCATATAAAGTCAAAGTCCAAGTCATTTCCTTATGTTGATCACGTGAAAAAAGTGGTGGCATCACATGATTGGTGGAA